AATATCGTTAGGTCAGGCTTGGTGTGTTGTCATAAATGAGCCAATAAATGGTTTCTTTATACAACGCTTACCAAGTATTCAAGGAAAAGAGAGAGCCGCAATCAGGACATTAGCTTGAGCCGATAAAACTACCAGAGAGGGAGGTTGGGTGGGAGGGGTTAAGACCATGAAAGATGGGCTGTATGGTACACACAGCTGGTAGACCATAGCACAGTACAGTAAAAGAAACTTTCACCTTCTCCCCAGTCACGTGTTATACAAGTACTGTAGTAGTATCCGAGGGCAACTAACAGCAGCCCTTTTTCCCGCCATCCTTTTTATTTTTTTCTCAGTAGGATCAACGCAGCTCAGCTTGTCAACAGACTACCTCCCGGTCTGGTTAAATTATTTTTGCTTGAGTCGAGTATGCCACAACCAGTGTTCAAAATAACCAATTGTAACCGTAGCAACGAATTAACCATGCCTAACCAGACGTTCCTGTTTCGTTAATATTCACTGCCGTATTGCCGGCGTTCGCTGTGCATACGTAATATGGTGAAAATGGCCTTGTGAGAGCAGTGACTCTATATTCTATACAATACACCCATTAATTCATGAGTCATGGGCAAAATAGTATTATTCACTTTCGATATATATAGATATATTTCATATTCGCCACTTATCACCCTACTAGCCGTTTCAGCGATCTATCTAGTGTTAGTACAGGAGGAAACACTGGATAACACCCTTCTCACGTGTGTCCGGCCGAGGCTTGAACCCTTGACATATTGGTGAGTTATGCGGGTTACCGCTGTATCACCAACACCCCCGGAAACCTGAAAGATAGATGTATGGAGACGGTACTCATTGTGAGATGTCGTCAATGCTTTAGGACCGATGTAGTACAAGAATTAGGCTCATGTTAATATGAATTTTAACGAAAAGCTTCTAATTCCTGAATAATTAATTTATCACTTATACTTCTGTGCGCTAAAGAACTACTAATATTGACAATGGTAGCAAGATTATCCAAAGCTCACCCATAGTGGTCTCAGCGTTGCCGGGATTGCGCGGCTCCAAGCGAAAGTTCTCAGTGAGTGAATGAGTCATTTATTAAGAAATGGCACCCACAGACTCACTGACGCAACTTTAAATCTTGAAACGGTTGTCTGACTGCGAAAACTGACACACACGCAACAAAATCGATGTGCTATTGTTACCATTACATGGTTATTAATTATCTACACAAACATGACTGGCTGAGTTGTAATCAGCTGCCAGGTGCTTTTAGTTTTCTCAGATTAGGTTGAGTGAGAAGTTACGCGCTATAGGTTTCAATCCGTGTATTATATCAAAACTGGTTGGGTTCCATTACATCAAGAGAGTTTCAACAGAGACTGCTTCGATAGTTCTAGCCCAGTATGATGACAAAAACGGAACGTCCAGCATCAGCAACACGCCTTCATATCAGCCAAGGCGGGAGGTACTGTGGGTGTGAGTTCCCGGGAGAAAAAGTTGTCATTGTGGCCACTAACACTACTTTCCATTTCGTCTCTCATCACACACCACCTCCCCTCCCCTCACCCCATCTCGTTTGCAATTCCAGCTTACAATTATTATTCAGTTGTATCTGTTACGCTCCTGGATGATTTTATACCCAAAATAATCAAGTCTAAAACTCCTTAAATGTGTATTTCATTAGTATTTTTGTGCCCGGTCTCTTTAGTAGTGAACCAAATTGAGCAACACTTATTTTTTGTTATAGACTGTTGACTTGAGTACGTTTGTGATAAGTGGATATTCAGTAAAATAATCTGATTACAGTAGCCACCCACAAGACCCATCGAATCGTCATACTACTGATAAACCAAACAATATGACCGCCTATATCACTAACATGAGAACCAGTTATAAATAAATTTCTTCCACTGTTGACACTTCCCGAAACATAACCCAGATGCAAATAACAAGTCACTGGGATTTTTCAAGTCAAGATAAAACCACTGCTTGCAGAAAGGGAAACCCATACTTCTGACTGAACTAGAAACCCTATTACAGCATATCGTAGATCAACTTAACTAGATCGTCTCCCCCAAAAAGATCACGTGACCCAATAAGAAAATAATTTCTCTTTGTTCCTTCCCGCTAGCAGCTCAAGGCGACAGAAGGGAAAGTCTCACATAACTTACAAGGGCGTTGCGTTAAGTTAGTCACGGGAGCAAAGGCTGTTATGTGAAAATGGACTATAACAAGCTTTTTAAAGTTTATTCTGTATTTTAGCATTTGTATAACCTACCGAGGTTAAGACTGTCCCAAAATAAAAACATTGTTAGTGTCAATCTTAAATTATCTGGGAAGTTTAGGATACTTCGATATAAATAGATTTGTACAATACGTGAAGATGAGGCCAAGTCCTTTTTTATTTCCTCTCAACGTTGAAGGTAGTTGGCGCAAACTATAAATTTATACAGCTAAAGGTAACAACTACTGTATAGTGTACATATCTGCTCTGGAGTTTACAGTACGGTACTTTGGTACGATATGTTTTCCGCTCGAGATATTACAGTAGTTTCAACTGTCAAGAGCCTCAAGACCGGAGTGTTTATTGTATTTGATCTGAATTATGTGAACTTTACCTCGTGACCACAAGATAGCTTTTTTTTTTTTTTTTTTTAGAACTTCGTTTTTTAGTACAGATCATGTTCGGGCAATTTATTTCATATTGAGAGTGACAAACCTGATGAGATACAGTAAGTCAATTTTTATCTCTACAGTTTTTTCCCCCCAAATTTAAGTGTAATAGATGAAATATAAAAAGCTAACCTTGTCTTTAAGGAACCATTACTGTTTGCAATGAACCATCAGTTGTTATTATTATTCTGCTGTGCAAAAGTTGGCAATATGCCATTTAACAAAGTCTTGAGCATTAATAAAAAAAATCAAATTCAAAAGTAAAAATCAATATCTAACATGATAGCGTCATGGCTGAGCGAGTGGATAAGCCAACCCAGTACAGTACAATACAGTCTAGTTGATGTTCTGCATTCGTGACAGGAGTGAAAGGCAGTGAAGAATATATGCTTTGGGATTGTTGCTGTATCATGCTACCCCGAACACGAGACTTATTGAACCACCGACGCACCAAATTCCATGAAAGGATGAGTTGCATAATTGGACAGGGAAAGTCTTCTGGAAAATAAAAAGCTTTCAACACGCAAACTCTCAAAAACGGATAATTGATGCAACACCGAATCTCATATTTCTGTGAGAAGGAATAGCTAAAAAAAAACAACTTAATACTCCATATAGTTTCTCGAGCTCGTATTAAGAAAATGAAGGGCAATGCACATAATAAAATGAACTAAACTGTCTAAACAAATACTGTATACATTGAACATTTACGTTCCCTTTTAGATGCACAATACAGTTGTTTAATTTCTATAAATATTTTATATAATTAAAATTTCACGAGTCTTTAACATAACTGAAGCGTTGAAACTATTCTCCAATAAGCTAGGATTCCATATATGCGTTTGCAGTACGGGGTCCCTGACTTACGAACGCCCACCGATTTGAATGTGGTTAAACTTGGAATTTACAGTACCGTACATGTATTTTATTTACCTGTCCTGGGGGTCCGGACCCCCAGGACACACCTTGCCTGGGTAAACAAGAACTTACAAATTAACCTAATACAGTAAAGAGTAAAAAAAAAATATTGTCTTAAAGGATTGTTAAAAAAAAATGTTTCCTCACATGCAAACTTTTTTATCAGGGGTACAGTTCCCAACTATGCAAGCTCTTACATTAAATTCCTGGAGTACTGATCTCAGCTACACAAGCACCCTGTTAATTTCTTTCTCTATATTGCCTCCTTATACAGTACAGTACTGCAGTTTTCTTTTATCATGGTATGAATATAAATTTAATGGTTGTACCATTTAATTTGCTTTACCTGAAATAAAAGGACATGACAAAATATCTTTTATGAAACTTTACCCTAAAATTAAGGGCAAAAATTTATTACATTCTTGAGTTATAAATTAGACCAGGTAATGCTTTTTAAGATTTGTTTACATAATTTGACAGTATGTTAACTTTCACAGCAGAAAATGACGAAGCTATTATAATTAACAATATAATTTTATTTACTTTTCTTTATACTGTACTGTACTGTATTTTTTTTCACCAGCCATCAGATGTTTTTAAGAAATATTAATTACGAGATGGAAACTTTATGGTTTTGCCTTAATGAAGAAACAGTACAAAGTGACCAGTTATCATATTTTACTGAAGAAATAACAATCATCAGAAATGCTGCTGGAAATCAATCACACAGCCGATAGGTTAAGAATGAGGTTGTCACATGATTAGTATTTTTAATAGCATATTGTATTGTACAGTACTTGCAGTTAACCCCTTCACTACAAGGATGCCACTTTTATTTGGCTAACACTAAACAATTTTATTCAGCACAGATAGAACCCTATATACAAGGGGTTAATGCACCCACTACAGTATTGGAATGACCCACAATTGGTTTTAACAGAAAGGAACCAGTTTGTTCCTGTTAATATAAAACTTAGTCCAGTGATGCATCTTGTCTTTTCAACACCAGATTCAAGTAAAGCATTACAACATCCATGCAACAAATTTTCTATTAACAAAATCCTCAAAACTGCTACTTTATTAGCACCCCTGTTCTTAACACTTACAGTATGTTACTGTACCAATATTATTATACAGGCATGAACCCCTTGTGTATGGGGTCCTCTCTGTGCTGAATAAAATCATCTGGTGTTAGCCAAATGTAATTTTAAAAGTGGCATTCTGAAGTGAAAGGGAGAATTTACTTGACAAATATAATTAAAAAAAAAATGCTAACTGCTGAGACCCAAAAGTTTATGTGCCTTTTTTAAGAAAATGGTAACCAAGAGTCTTTTCAATGGTGAAATAGGAAAATTCTTGCAAACCTGTAAATACAGTAGTACAGTATATAATTTATGCAGTGCTGTACTCACCTCCTCCTTGAAGAGCATATCCTGTGATGCCATAAACAAGGGAGATGATCCTTTGTCGTTGGTTGCGTTCACTGGAGCGCCACACGCCAGCAAGAAGGACACAACACCCGCAGAGGGAAATGGGGTCATATGTTCTTCTTCTAATAACGAGTGATTGTTGAGCACATTAGTCTTCATAGCAGCAAGGTGAAGAAGCGAGTGACCCCCTTGGCACGTTCTTGGGTCCACACGTAGAATGTTGTTAACTAGAGTCGCCACCTTTTCTTGTTGCTCCTCCATCCTTGGAATATGAAGCACGACAAATAGCATATGTGTTAAAACTTTCAGCATGTGGTCAAAATTGCTTTGGTGTTTTTTATGGACCGGTTGTATTCGGAGGAGAGCCATGCACTTGGGTAGCTGTTCTGCGAGTAACTCTACCGTACGGTAAGCATCGTCAAAACTCACTGTGTTTTGCATCACACCTGCACTGTGCTTGTCGATCATGTCTAAATAGAGTCGCACTAATGCCTGAGCCGTGAAACAGGTTTCATTAAAAAGAATCGTGTCTCTCTGAATCCTGAGTTCCAGGGCATAAAGCCACAAGTCTATACAATTTTGATACTGTAGAGAATCTGCATAAGCTGCCCCTCGATACATCAACCTAAAGATCATGTCCTTGTGTGCTATTCCTAAGATACGCTCACATATCAACAAACTCTGCGTTCGCATACCGTTTAAGTCGATGGCGATGGCTTCCAGTTCTTCTGAAGTCTTAAATTCTAAAGCAAACTGATAATTTCTTCTAGCAGGTAAAATCTGTTTGGACACCCCTGATGCCTGACGCACACTTGCCGCCTTTCGCCAGTACTGGAGAGCTGCCTGAATGTCGTGGTGCTCGTCCAAGAACGTCGTACCGAGCAGCTCGTATCCATCTGCAATCCGACTTGGGAAATAAGAGAAAACATTTATCAAATACTCAAATATCTGACACACCCCCTTGATGCACGCTGTCTGCAGGGCATCATCGTGGTACCTGCTGGTGAGGTGTGGGTTGGCTCCATGGTCGAGGAGTAATTTTGTGGTCTCAAATCTGTGTTCTTGAATGGCATAGTGTAAGGCTGTTTTGTTCTGAATATCTTGTGCATTGACATCAGCACCGTGCTTGAGAAGGTACTCACATAACTTGACACTCTGGACAGAATTTATTAAACATGTACCACCATTATAATTGGGCTTAGAAATATTTGCTCCATTTTCCACTAAGTAAGTCACAATGTCAAGATGGGTCATAAAGCAAGCGCTGCGTACTGGAGTAGAGCCCGTGTCTGACACACTGTTAACATCAGCACCATGCTGAACTAAACACTTGACAACAGGTAGACGGCCAGCTACTGATGCACACCACAATGGTGTCACATTGTGGATTGATCGGTCGTCTGGCACCTCGTATAGTCCCCGTTGTTCAGCATCTGCACTACACGTTGTTATGAGGTAGTCCACCACTTCAACATTGCCTCTCTTGCATGCAACAAAGAGTGGGGCACAACCATCTCGAGTTCTGGTCACAATCTCTTTCCTGTCTTCCCTCTGGAATCTCTCCAGCCTGGTCCGCAGCATGTAGGATAGTCGAGCCCCGGGTGCAATATTTCGACATTCATTGTACAAGTCCGAGAATATTTGTTCTTTATGCGAGGTCTGGTCAATCTTGCCTGTAATCCACATCCTTCGCTTGAAAACAGAGAAGAAATTTTCCTTTGAGGAATCCAGCGCGCCTAGCTTGATCCACACCTCAACGAAAACAAATAGTTCAGTCTCCTAGAGCGCCAACATGGGCTCCAAAAATCCTCAACACTCACTGCAAACTTCTCGGGCAATAACTCCTCGTCCCGAGTCCACCACCGTGTATGTGTCTCAGCTGAGCGCAGGTCCACCACACCACCACACCAACACTATAACTGCCACACAACTTCATACCTCTTAAATACTGACCCAAAAACACACATCACGGCAACTATAAGAACCAAAATCCCACTTCCGAGTTATGTTATTCTTATTAATTTACATTATTAAAATACTAGTTGTAAATTAAAGCCATTCAGACTATAATGGCTATTGGAACAGGAATAACAATATACTATCATGTGGCAACACTAACGTTAACAGAGCTACCAACCACTCCAATAAAATAAACGTGAATATTTTAGAACAAACATAAACATTTGTTATATCTCCATTATTTGTGTGACTTTTACTTAAACTATTGTACATAAACCCTACTTAGATAAATAAATCGTATTATCGTGACTAAATTCGACTTCATTGAGTAGTTGTTTACCTTATTGTAGTCATTAATCAAACTTTAATTGATGCGGTTTTAATCTGATGGATATAAAAGAGTACAGTACATTGGACCCAGGCCAGGCATCACTTTTGTATACTATGTTAGTCTTAGCTTTACCCTTCCTCCATGAGAACAATATATTTCCTGTCTTTATAACCAAATATCTTTTTACTTTCATGAGCGTAGTAGTGTTTTCAGCTGTTTATAATACATAACTAGATGAGAAATACAAGAGGACAGGTGACTATTAAAACAAAGAAATGTGGAGGTCAGTCTCACACATTATAGTATATTTTTAACTGTGAAAATTTAATAAATATAAATAAGGTGAACTACAGTGTGAGACACAATGTATTTCTCTGACCTATGAAAGGCAAATTTGAGGGGATATTTTTGCCAAATTTCCTTTCACTATAAATAAAAACCTGGAAAACAACCAATTATCATTAGTATCTTGTTAAATACATACTAAAAGATGACAAAATTCTTCCTTATAAACACCATTGAAAAAGTAAATATTACAATTAATGAATAATGGACTGAAGATTGTTAAGTCTTGACATTAGAAGGAGATAGGGAGATTCACTTTCACATAATAAAAAGACTTTCTACTGTTACGCAAATAGTTTGACCATTTTCTAAACTTGTGGCTTCTTCAACTTTAAGTTGTGACCCCTAGTGACGTCTAGTTTATAACCCTCGATTGTCTCCCCTTGCCCACCTGTAGTAGCTAACCGGCAGCCACTATAGGTGTTGTCATCTCCCTGGATAACTGAGGTGCCGTGGTGCCGTAGTCTGGTGGCCATCCTTAGGACATTTCAGTTGATTGAAAATGTATGCAGGCGAAGATAGATCAACAAATCAGGGGTAAAACTGTCCATTTATTTATCTTCAGTGCTGTCAGGGTAAATTGGGGTAAAGTTTCGAGGGAAGGACGTGATGAGTAAGTATACCTCAGAAAGATATTATAGAGGACACATTACTTTTATCCTCTTCACCACTGATCGGCTTGTTAGCTGCCCCGGTGATCGGTCACGTCTCTGTCACACACTGTTGGCAAGTACTGGGCTGCACCGGCACCTGAATGTACCTGAACCTGCTCCAGTGTTGGTCAAGTCTTGTCTTGAAACAGCTCACACTCGGTGCCGTCACAACACTCTCTGGTAGATTGCCCTCACAGTTTTCTGGACTTGCGGCTTCTTCAATCTTGAGCTGTGACCCCTTGTGGGGCGAGCGTCCGCCAGCTCCAAGTAAGGACACTCAACTGAGTAGTGCCCCCTGAGATGCTTATACACCTCAACTAGGTTCCCCCTTGCCCGTCTGTAGTATAAGCTAGGCAAGTTCAGGCGCTCCAATCTCACGACACATAAATAACGTTGAAAAATAGCATTAAAATGACATTGAGAGCAACTTTACACCGTTTAAAGGACAAAATCAAGGGACAAAATTTTTTCCATTGATTTTGTATATACTGTACTGTAATTTCGTGTACGGTTGCAGGAAGTTGTATATTTTTTGTCTCGTGTTTAATAATTCCATGATATTTTAGGTCCCCCAACAAGGGTCATTCAGCCTCCTGTGTGAAGGTTCAGTTTCCCTTTTATCTCTCTCTTAAATATTCTCACTTTGTAAATTTCTGTGTTAATATTTTGTCTTCTATTTTGAATTAGATGTTTATAATTATATAGCTATAGTGTGACGCTTTTCCGGTAATGGTTTTAATACACACCGTAAAATAAGGAAAGAACAAGAAATATAATAAATATAACGGAAATATAAAAGAAAAGGCATTGGCGGGGAGTGAGACATTAGATATTTCATGGCAGACATAACGCATTTCAAAGAGTACATGCAGGAAGTGAGGAGTTAAAGTTGTACACTTGTATTGAGGTCGATAATTTTCCGTTGGTATCCCTGAGGTGTTCACAGGTGTTACTCCTCAACCATAAATATACATCTATGACTATAGTGAATATAAAAACCTAGAATGTGTGTAGTGGATTCCTCCCCTACAAACGCCGTGTGTCACTGACTGGCCGATCCTCTTCAAATTCCCCAGCCTGCGCCTCCTGGCCTAGGTCGGTAACCAGCGCCGCCTAACAAAACGGAGGTCAACTATCAACCCACGCCTACCCCCGCTATATAAGACCTCACCCCGCCATGACCTACCTCTTTCTATCTACAGCCACCAGCAAGCAACACCCACTCCTCCTCCGCCTGCCTGGCGGTCGCATGGCGACCCACAAGCTGTCCTCCTCTGAGCACCCTCACCAGCCAGCTCTCTCTACATCACGCTTGTAACCATGCTGCCTTCCCAGCACCAAGCTGCATTGTACATCCAATACAACATGTATACAGAGAGCACATTGTGAGTTTCCTTTCTACATCCCATCCTGAGTGTGAACCAAACATCCCATACCCCACAGTGCCCCTTGAGATGCTTATACACCTCAATTTGGTCGCCCCTTACCCGTCTGTAGTATAAGTTAGGCAATTGCAGGCGCTCTAATCTCTCAGGGTAGCTGAGATGCCATAGTGCAGGCACCAGTCTGGTGGCCCTCCTGTGGATATTCTCAATCAACTGTCTGTAGCTGTAGAGCCGATGAGAGCTGTTTCCGTGTGGATAAGCCAGTCTTCAATGTTGTGATTGAAGACTGGGAGAGTGATCTGTTTCTCCTCCATCCTGTGTGAGTGCGTTTCTCCAGGAGTCACCATTGTGGGGTTTCGTGATGTTAAATCGCACATAGGATGGAGGTGAGAAGGGTAACTCAGCTATGGGTGTTTTCTTATATAAATATATTATATACAAATCAGTCTGGTGCTGGAGAGTTGCTTGGGTAGGAGCTTCTTTAGAGGAGGTGTTGCGTGTTGCAGGGCTCTTGGTTGAATGGACTTCAGCGGCGAGGCTTGGACCTTATATATACGGCCACCGGAAGTAAGCGTCGCAGGTGGCCGACACCCCCCCCCCCTCCCCAGCGAGTCTAGATGATGAGACTTGTCAGAGAAACTCGCTAGTTGGCTGAACCCCGCGCAACTATAGGCGGCTAGGCTTGTGGTAGTTGTAGGGGAGAGTATCCACTACACCCTCTTCTGTGAACACTATGTGGGTCAAACCATCTGTCCTGAAAAGCAGGAATATTGTTCGCATCCTCTCTTGTGAACACCGAGGAAAAGAAACTGTTCCATGCCTCAGCTTTGCCCTGGTCAGAATCTGTAAAACTCCCAGTTGGTTGAAAATGTTCAAAGGAGGGCCACCAGACTGGTGCCTGCACCTCAGCTACCCTGAGAGATTGGAGCGCCTGAACTTGCCTAGCTTATACTACAGACGGGCAAAGGGCGACCTAACTGAGGTGTATAAGCATCTCAGGGGGCACTACTCAGTTGAGTGTCCTTACTTGGAGCTGGCGGACGCTCGCCCCACAAGGGGTCACAGCTCAAGATTGAAGAAGCCACAAGTCCAGAAAACCGTGAGGGCAAACTTTTTCGGAGTGAGAGTTGTAAACTCTTGGAACAATCTACCAGAAAGTGTTGTGACGGCACCAAGTGTGAGCTCTTTCAAGAGAAGACTTGACCAACACTGGAGCGGGTTCAGGTACATTCAGGAGCCGGTGCATGCCCAGTACTTGCCAACAGTGCGTGACAGAGACGTGACCGATCACCCGGGTGGCTAGCGAGCCGATCTTTTGGTGAAGAATATAAATGAAAAGAGACGTGACCGATCGCCCAAGCGGCTAACAAGCCGATCAGTGGCGAAGAGGATAAAAGTAAAAGTAAAAACGATTACTTTGTTCCTGCACTTGAAACGTGCCCGTTGTTCCTCCTCTCCCCTGCCAGTAGGTCCGCCAGTTGCCATCTCTTTGACACACTTCTTCCGAGTCCCTAGCTCCTGTAGAACCTGTTCGGATCCTGTATTACTCTCCGCCACCTCCCGGGGCCCTGCTAAGGCCTGAGCATAACTCTTCTGCACTACTCCCTCCATTCTATTAGCTACTTCCTCAGTCTTAGCGAGGATCTCTTTCCCAACATACACACCTACCGTAGGTCCTTTTCGTATTCAGTCTCAATTAATGTGGTTCTGATACACTTCCCACACAAGTACAAATATCATTTTCATTGTATGAAGTTGTTCATAGTCATAGCAGCAGTAGTAGTCATCAAGGATCTGTGGTCAAAAAACCTCCTTCAGGTACCCCTTGGAAGTTTTTTGGGCAGAAAAAAGGATTGTTCTCAAATTTCAGTACTGTACTGTACGATATAGGTAATCCTTAACAAACAATGATCAGACCCACTCCACAAGGGATGATGTGAGCTGGTTCACTGGAGCTGTACTGGATAATTTTACTCAGTAAATCGCATAATAGTTCATTAATTGAATTTTTGTTCCTTAAAACTTCAAAGTTGTTAAACCAGATTCTTGTTCATCGGTACAGCAAAAACATCAGAAAGCATAAAGGACATTATAATAATCACCTAAATTTCATCATGTATTTCAAAATTGCATCTGATCACTTAGTGGGAAGATTGGGGAAATATTCCACAGCTTTATACATTTTTTAATATGATTTGTATAATTACAAATACAGTACATGTCTTCACAATCTACAACTGATAGTACTAAAAGGATTAAAACTTGAGCTAATATGTATATATATATATATATATATATATATATATGATATACTGTACTGTACAAGACCCTTACAGTAATAGGATGTCAAATTTTATTTTTGTCAAGAAAGTTATATAAGGACCATCAGTATAGCCCACACCCCTAAACCTAAAGCCAGGACAAAATGATGGGTAACTGCAAACTTCACTCCCTCGCTCCTACGTGCTACTTCGGCTAAAATTTTTTCAGTGTGCACTTCTTCTAAAATATGGATACGCCAGCCCATATTTGGTGCCGTCCAGCTGTTGTAGTAAACGATGTCAGGCCATGATTTGTTGGGGGTGAACTCGAGAATAGCAGCTTTACCTGTAGATTATAAAAAAAAAAAGCAGGTTTATTTCTTCATATACATTAACTGGTTGAAAGTAAGATGATTTGGGATTTATTCTGGGTTATGAACTGGTAAACTCGCTCCAAAAAGTATCTTTAAGATTTTGTTAGAGACAATATGACACAATGGATGAAGAATTTTGACAACCCTACCAAGACAACAGGAGTCACAGAGTTCATTTTGAAATTCATCAGATCCCTTCGTAGATACTTTTTTTTCAGAGAGTGTTTACATACATGATGAGGAAGAGAATTATGGGACCTAAAAATTTTTTTGTCACTTTGTAAAGGAAGATGGGAAGGAAAGTTGGTGTATGATTGTGACTATGATACAAACTGTCAGTGTGGAAAGTATCAATGAAGATTTTAAATTTACAAGGGATGGTGATATGAAACTGTATTACTGTATATAATACATTAACGTGTTAAACCCGTAATGCTAAATTATTACGTATTTTAACATTTAGTGGGATACTACATCTCCTTCACTCCTTCCCTACTTTGTGTTGTGTAGATGAAGGTGATCAGATTAACAACAACTGACAAATTACTAAAAATTATACTAAAACACTCCTCTGAAAATATTACACCAGAAAAACAAACAAGACAAATTACCGTCGCCGCACTCCAGCATCAACGAGTTACGGAAGCGCTCAAATGTCCTAAACTCCACGTCTTTGCGGCGGTCCCCCTCTGGAGTGTGCTTCCAGAGGCATAATCGTCCAGCTGAAATATAAGGACACACTTGATACACAAGATAAAATACTTATCAATCCTTCTGAACTGAGAAAAAACAAACATTTGTGGGATTTACTTTATATAAAAACCCTCCAAGAATGTGATCAACACCTGTACAATACAATATATTAGGATACATACAATGAAAAACTACAATTATTCCAATGGACAAGAATTATTCAAATGAGGTGATTCTGTGCCTCTACTTCAAAGTTTGTTGGGCAAGTCAAGATGTTAATCAACATTCATAAATTAATTAATAAAAGTAGGGTTATCTTTACTAACTTGCTGTAGGTCTTGCATCTCCTCTAACTGAGTAACCAATACCAGCCAGCACACGAACTTCTTTCTGCTGGCTTTCTGACAGCTGAGAGTAAGCTCCGCGAGGTTCATCTGTCAAGGAAATATGGATAATATTACTGTACACTGCAATATTTTTTCTTTTTAATATTTCTTTTCTATTGAATGGAAGCTGCGCGGTGAATAAACTGGAACACGGATGGAAAACAGTTGCTGCGCTAAGCCGTGGATACTCAAAATTCAATACTGTACCTCAGTTGGTGAAATGGTATAGAGTAAAAACCGTGGATACTCGAAATCTGTGGTTGGTGAGGGACTACTGCACTTCCTCCATCTAGTTGGTTATGATTGTTTTAATGTGTGTAAGAGAGGTGGTGATGGCAGCTAACACATGGTTGTAAGAGAGGGAACAAGCACACAGTAGTGGACAAAGTACTGGAAAAATTTACGTAAGTAAAAGTATTGTTACTTGGACAAAAACAAAAGAGTCAAGTTAGGCACCTGTGATGATCATGGGGTGATAGCTGCGGGGGTCATAAGGGTTGGAGCCGCCCTCAACTAAGAACCTGTATTTAATGTTCCTCTTGATGTACAATTCGGGTGCAAGTAAGCCATTTATATACCATGCCAACCCTGTTTCTGAATTATCTGTAAGTAAATATACATTCAATCAGATGCACAATATAATAGTAATAATAATGATAACAATACAGGTATTCAGGTTTACAATTAGATAATCATGTACAGTAATATCTCCGTTAGCCGGAATCCCTCAAACCCAAAACTCTCCAATAGCCGGAATTGAAATTTTCTGGAAAATTCAGAGAAAATTTTCCTGAAGGAATTCCCGGGTTCGAGAGATGATGTACAGGTAATGGGCAATTTCTGGAACTTCCGAAAACATTTTTTCGTTACCTGGAAAATTCCGGGGATGAGGGATATTTTTCCGGCTATGAGAGAGTCGTCTGGTTACCCAGAAATCTCTCTTTCCCGGAGGTGCTCAGCACCAATTGTTCCGGCTAACGGAGATATTACTTTTATATAAAGCTCAGCATGACTATGGACAATGTAGATATATGATGCATATAGCCCATGGGAGTATTATACTATACTGTACTGTACTGTTAATGTGTGCACAGACAGTAAACAATGGTAAACAGTAAGGCAACTTGACCAAGGATAACTGTCAGCTGATTATTTCCAGGAGGATCCTTTGGCAACAAGAATAATGTCATATATTAAAAAGGAAGGTTTCAAAATTACGTCAGGGCTAATAGTAACACATCTAATGGAAATCCTCACTGAAGAAGACATGGCATATTTTTAAAGCATTGAGAAAGTTAAGACCAAAAATTTTTGCAACAAATATTCACAATTTTATGAAACAATAAAGGTTAAAACAATCTTATTTGTCTCAAGCATATGTCAGCAGCACCAAGTTGGAAACACCGCTTCTTGTCTGATCAACAACGTTAACCAGTGTTGGGTCTGGTTAGTACTTGGATGGGTTACTGCCTGGCTCTAAGAACACCAGATGCTGTTGGCATAAGGACTTTACTGAAAACAAGCATCTCTTGCCTCTGTCACTCAGCTGTTCTTGATCAAAGTGACTGAATATCCAAAATTATTATGATGCAGACCGTACAAAACAAACAGAACTGTTATGTGTGTTCTCAAGAGATTTTTTTGTCTTGATCATTTATAGATGCTCTACACAGGGGAATTATATGACTAAAATATGAAAAAGTTTTACACTGATGTGTTTCCTTAGATCATTCTTAAGCTGAACACACTTCTCATTCTCCTATTTTCATTTATATTTGTTACATTTTATCTATGTACCTGTATTGAGGTTACCATTATTAACAAGTATTATCCTCGTCCATGAAAAAGTCTTCCTTACATTGCATGTCTGTGCTGTGGCCAAGGGACTGAATGTGTCTTGTTAAAAAGTTTCCCTTGCTTCATGCTTTGATGCATTTTTACCCCAAAGATCTCCTATTTTTCAATAGTAACTGAGAAAATTTTTACTTACGATTTGCTGTGGCTAAATATCCTCGCACACCTCCATCAGGACCCAAGCGAGCAGTGAACTCACGGGCTGCAGGATCTGCTAAATGGAACCCAGACCAAGGTTTCCTGTATGTGTAACAGAGAACAGGATCTTAGCATGACAAAATATCAGCTTATCTAACTAAATATTTATGTAGAAAGCCAAACACATCTGTCAAACTATTTCAACATTTAACATTTTGACAATGATTTAATGTTACCCAAAGTCTTCTTGTTTGTTTACCCACTAAGTCCACGAGCTGAAAGCTCAGGAAACCCTAAGACACTAGTGGCTGCCACCAATTAATTATTTCGGCTTCAACACTCCGTTCTTACCCCAACTCCACATTGTTCAGAGGTTTACCAACACCAACCTAAGGAGGACATGGGGCTACGAGGGAGGGATCTCACTGACTGTGTGAGGTCATATGCAAGTCAGTGCTCACAGCCCCTGTGATAGAGCTGTGAAGTCTTAATTCCAAAGTAGTGGTTACAAGACTGAATCAGAGATAACTCCTTTATTCCTGAAACTTATAGTGGCTGTAAGAGAACAGAAACTGATATTGCTGAATGGTCCAAGAATATTTCTAAAACAACTAGACTTGTTAATCTGGGCAGATGAGTTGAACCTCAGATGGGATCTCCATTCCTCCAAGAAAACAGTAACTAAAGAAGTTTGGTCCCTGTCTGAGGTCTAGTGGCTTGGGTGTTTGCTCCCCTCTGTAATGTGTCGGGTCTCTAACATGTTAGAACAGAAAATTATGTCTCGGAGTTTCTACAAAAAGAGTAGCAGGGTTATTCAAGTCATTGGGGGGGGGGGGAGAAATTGTTTCTCCAGTCGATGTCGCCATAGTTAAAGTCCCCCAAGATAAGGAGGTGGTTAGGGTTGAGCATCGCCGCGTTGTCTATTAAGAGTAGATATCCTAATGTCAAATGAATTGTTGTAGTGTTGTGTGGATGTAAACTGGAGAGTCTGTAATGTCAGTTTCCATTTGCCCTGTTGTGAAATGAGAGAAAATAGGGTTAACTCCCCTACTGGTGTGTACAGTACATAAAATTAGCTTTTGAAGCATCTAAAGTCACCTCTTCTTATTACTCAAGGTAATTTAGGTACAGGGAATACCTTTAGGATGGAAATAAGTCATTACTAGATGACTGAACTTTAAATCCCACTATACAACTGAGCTCAAACACAGAGACTCAGCTATCCTCCCTTTTCCTATCAGGTAGAATTGAAGTTGGCTGAAAATGAATGTTGAAGGTGATATGTCCACTTAGATACAAGTCCTCAGTTAACAAATGGAGTGAGTATAAGCTGATGTGACAACATGACTTGTTGTCTTTGACTGAAAACAACAAGTTACTATCATTTGTAAAGGTCCCCTTCATGATCTGGTTATGTTGGTGTGCTAGTAGTTTATGAATTACTCCAACTAGCCACTAATGTCTATGAATTTTCTGAAAGGGAATTCAGAATAAATTACCCATTTCTGTAGCCCTGGATGTAGCTATCCTTCCTTCCTTCCTACCAAACAGATGAACACAGTAAGGTTAGGATTTTTACACAGTTTATACTCACAGGTTTGGTTTCTCACTGCGGGTAAATGCAAAGCAATTCTTCTCCGTTGGCTTCCTAGCGAATTCGATCTCCTGCTTAGCCTGAAACACATAAGACAGATATACTACTAATATGTAGCCTTAATAACATGTAAACTTTTGATGTCTTAGGCTTCTCATAGTGGCATAAAATCCTTTGTTGGACTAGAAAAGACAATTAATAAAAAAAAAAACGTCAAATAAAAAAAAAAACGTCAAGAAGTAATTCAATCAACTGTACATTAAAGAATATAAAACATACAGTACAGTATGTCTGTGAAATTAATGGGTGTGGCAGTAGCAGAAGACTGAGTGGACAGCAAAGTCACACAGGAAGTAATGAATATGCAAGGATGAAATGGAACTATTTTAAATGCTGTTCAAAGTTACTAATATAGCAGGTGAGAGTAAACTATTCATATGAGCTGGCAAAGTTAACATAACGGAAAGCTCCAGAGGCCAATATGGAAATGTGCTCAAGGAAACACTATGTGGAAAAGGTCAACAAACATGGACTTTAATGGCTATCAAAGTAAATAAGTTGTTGGTGTGTTGTGATCTGAACTGTGGATGAAATACTTTTGTATTTAATGATTGATGAAGTAATTGTGGAGGCATAAATCAACACCCAAAAAGTTGTGTAAGTATTTCAGGTAATCTAATAAATGTACCATATCTGAAAGAAAGTTTTGTATAACAGGAAGTCCTCTTTACAACTCACCTTTGACCAGGCATAGTGCATGGATGGTTTCTTGATGATGTCAAGAGCACCAAGTGCCCAGATGATTATGGCTGGACCTGAATCTGGGTATGCTTTGTCTCCAGTGTCAGCTGAAAGAGGAAGAATGAGAGGAATTGTAAAAACAAAACTCTTGTTCACAAACTTGTCCTTCTGTCCTCTCTTCTCTTTTTATAACATGTAACAGTTTAAACTAACCACCTATTAATGACAGTATTTATAAAATTATCAGCTATGACTTGTTTGATTTTTTCAATGAATGAATACCAACCAAGATGATAAACTGACTCACACCATAACAATAGCAAGCAACTCATTGTGATATTGTCAAGTGATCTTTATGGAGAAACCAAACTGCTTTCCGTGAGGCTGTTTCTCAGTTTTGTGTAGTGGCAGCCCCCCTGGACAGAAAGGGTGCTTAACAGTGAACATCAAGGAAAACAGTCCCCTCCTACCTTGTCTGGCTCTGGGATCAAAAGCAGCTCGTGGGTTAAATAACTGGATCATTAAACTACTTACAAAACAGCATCATTGCTAAATTAAGAGAAACTATAAAGGACAAAATAACATTTGATCCATCTCTGCCAAATTATAGTCCTGGGTGTAGAGGTGGCACATGAGAGTCTGGGCAAAGATACCATTTCATGGCAACCCGACACAAAAAATCCTTGCAATAAACTATTGCACATGTGTTGACATAACATACGGGTGACAAGGCGACGTCTGAAGGTGAAGATGTTGATGCCGTCTTCCCTCTTGCTGCTGTATGCCTGGTAGTCCTGTGTCCCACCGACCTTATCATCTTCACACACACCCTTCGGCTGACCTAACAGTTCTGTACACTGAAAATCATAAGCAAGAAAATAATAAACATTCTATTTATCAATGAATCATACTCCATTCCAAACTACAAGAGGTGGCATATACAGTACTGCATTAGGAAAATAGTTGTCTCTGCCTCTCACTACTGCATCCTGGGTTTGATCCCTCGTCAAATGTGAAAAGGATAATATGCAGTGTGGCCCTACAAAACATCACAGGTTTTATCCAGGTTCTGTACTCCTATTTTCTCCAGTACTAACACTGGACAATGAAGGTTGTAACAGAGAAAATACAAATGATCGAGTGTCTAATAAGCTGACAAGTGATGACTGATAAATAATAATCACTCCTGTACTACTACAGTATGTTCACAGTGTAATGATGTGTACACTTCTACAGTACAGTACAGTACTAGTATTCACATTAATGTCTCCTTATCCAACATAGCAATACACTTGTCTCCCCATATCCTTACTGGCATATAAGAGGACATGTTGTAGTCGATGAGGTTGCCCAGGTAACCTTCCATGAACATCACCACCACGTCCCCGCCGATCATCGCCGGCTCCGTCTGAGACCCACTCATACCAAAGGCCATGTAATCATTCTCTCCTGTAAAGCAAAGTGAAATAATACTTAAAACATTCTAGATAGGAGAGATATATGATGTGTATACTGTACTGTACACAAGACTTACAATTGTCAATACAGGTATACTTTTATCCTCTTCGCCACCGATCGGCTCGTTGGCCGCTTGGGGGGATCGGTCATGTCTCCGATTACTTTTCCTTTTCTTATCCTCTTCACCAAAAGATCGGCTCGTTAGCCGCTTGGGCGATCGGTCACGTCTCTGTCACGCACTGTTGGCAAGTACTGGGCATGCATCCGTCTCCTGAATGTACCTGAACCTGCTCCAGTGTTGGTCAAGTCTTGTCTTGAAAGAGCTCACACTCGGTGCCGTCACAACACTTTCTGGTAGATTCTTCCAAGAGTTCACAGCTCCAACTCCGAAAAAGTTTGCCCTCACAGTTTTCTGGACTTGCGGCTTCTTCAATCATGAGCTGAGACCCCTTGTGGGGCGAGCGTCCGCCAGCTCCAAGTAAGGACATTTGACTGAGTAGTGCCCCCCTTGAGATGCTTATACACCTCTATTAGGTCACCCCTTGCCCATCTTTAGTACAAGCTAGGCAAGTTCAGGTGCTCCAATCTCTCAGGGTAGCTGAGGTGCCGAAGGGCAGGCACCTGTCTGGTGGCCCTCCTTTGAACATTTTCAACCAACTGACAGTTCCTAGCATATCTCGGGGACCAGACAGGGTGACAGTACTCCAGATGGGGAAGCACTTCACTCTTGAAGATCGTTACGAGGGACGGACCGTCTAGAAATCTGAACGACCTTCTTAAAACACCCATAATTTATTTGCCTGATTTACCTTCTTCTCGCAATGGCCCGAGAACTTCAGCTCATTGTCAACATACACACCTAGGTCCTTCTCACATTCAGTCTCAAATAGTGCAGTTTCTTCATCCCGTTGGGACATATCATACACCTCCTTACCGTTGGTATGCCCCAGGTGCATCCTCTTACACTTCGTGACATTGAATCTCAGCAGCCATTTCTTCGACCATTCTTAGAGCCCATAGAGGTCCTTCTGCAGCTTTTCACAGTCCGCTTGGTTCTTGATTTCCCGAAATAGCTTGGCGTCATCGGCAAACATTTGTATGGAGGAGTGTACAACATTAGGCATGTCATTTATGAAACAAACAAACAACAGCGGGCCCAATACACTGCCCTGTGGTACCCCGCTTGTGACAGGTACGGATGATGATTTCGTGCCATTAATCACCACACACTGCTTGCGGTCATGTAGAAAGTCTTCTATCCACGCTAGGACATTTTCCCAAATTCCGTACCCTTCTAGTTTGATTTTCAGCCTTTCGTGGAGTACACCGTCGAAAGCCTTGGCAAAATCTAGGTAAATTTTGTCGATATTACCACCCCGTTCCAGAATATGGGTCCAAATATCCAATACCTTGAGCAATTGTGTTAAGCAGGAGCGCCCCGGCATAAAACCGTGTTGGCAATCCTTTCCGAGATTGTTTCGTATTAGATGTTCCATCGCGGTATCTCTGATAATACTCTCAAGTAATTTACATATTATGCTGGTCAGGCTCACCGGTCTATAGTTGTTCGTGGAGTGACTGCAATGACCACGGTCATACACGTCAGTTTACGCCAAAATCAGACGATTCATATTACGCTCAATAGCCCACAAAACTTGTAACTCTGCCTTTGTTTGAGTCCCCCATCTGAGGAGACCGTTTTCTCATCGCTTCAAGACGCCTCAGTTGTCCATTATCCCATTTTCTCTAACTTACTGAAACCAACCTCTCTATAAAATGAATTTGAATGTTAGAGAGAACACCCTTGTTTTGAGTCAACTTAGATATGTTTGGTTACAGTTAAAGCATACAAGATCCTTTGTGAGTGATGTTGAACGCTTTAACTGTCCTTATTGTTAGTAACATTGGGTAGGTAAGCGAGTGTTGAGTCTGCCAGTACAAACGATACCCACGGTATCGTTCCCTAAGAATGACCATGAGTTTCCAATTGCTAATGAAGTCAGATTATTTTGTTGCCCAAACATCAGAGAATCTGATGGTTGTAGTTTAGAGTTTGTCAGTTGTCTATTTGAGAAAGTCATTAATCTCCTGAACTATTCTGTCAACCTGTATAATCTCCAAGATCTAACGTTTCCCCGTGAATAGTTCCTTGTTCGCCACAGCCCAGAGCTCGCAGAATTGATGTTATCAACGTGTATATTCCACTTTTTCCTGGCAAGCTCAACCTCTGATTAGATTATATGAATAGACATAGGAAACTACCCTGATCAGGAACACCGGAGTTCATAACTAAGTATACAAACCCCAAAATTCAGACTCATTAAGCAGTAGACTGATACATTATTCTGTCTATAAATGCTTCAGGTTCATGAGTCTGAATCTCGGGGTTTGTGGTTCAGGGGGAGAGGTGAACAGACTTAAGTAGTTGACTGTACAATAGTCTCAACTTGATAACTGTACAAAAATATGGTGTCATATTTTCGAAAGAGCAGACATAAACTTGTAAACATAATAAAGTTATTAAGCTGTACAGTACAATTGTTTTGAAAGCCTCCTTACCAACTTGTGCAGCAAGCTCCATTGTTATCTGATCACCAAACACCTCCCACGACACCTGCAGGTCCTTGTACAGCTGCACACAATTAGGCATACTATTTTCATGGGGCTGAAATTAATAAGGCAATGATATAATGAGAATTTTGTTGAAATAAAGTATACTGTACACATTTCTGTAAATAATGATGATGAAAAAAAAATAATCATGAAGAAAACTACACAGAAACTTAAAGAACTTTGCACTCACCCCACTGTTCAAGTGGGGTGAGTGCAAAGTTCTTTAACAGGGGTAGGGTACAGTACAGTACAGTACAGTATAGTACAGTATAGTACAGTACAGTATAGTACAGTACTGTACTGTACTGTATAGGCTGACAAAGGGCACTTATGGCATGATTAAAGACAAAGTGAAGCTGAGTAAATTCAACTCATCATTGTGGGAAGCACACACTACAGTACAGTACTGTAGTGGTAAAAAAACACGAGAAAAGATGGTTGATGGCTTTTCTGTAAGTGATGCGAGATATTCAAGCAAGCACTTAAAAAAAATAATTTATCTATATTTTAATTCATATGTATCATTATCTTGTCCTTTGATACTGTAAGAAACAGAGCGCCTTAAACCTTGGATTCCACTTGAATAAGGTGGTCACACTGAAGCTCATTTCTGGGGATGTTCGGAGAATCCCACTACACAACATAACATTCTGTCTTAATGATAAAAGTTCCCAGGTTATCAACCTGAGGTGTGATACTGGTTTCCCGGGGGGTACAGTACAGGACAAGTTGAAGCAAATTATTTTAAGACAATCAAGCTGTTGTAATACCTGTACAACAAAACCTCCATATAACAGACTTCTCTCTCCATATTATCCATCAGATGGGGACTTTCATATTTAAAAAGACCCTCTATATAATGGTCTTTCCTCTCCATACAGTCAGTTATATAGAGGTTTTACTGCAGCTGGGTTAATAAAACGAGCAGCAACTTTCTGTAATAGATGAAAATATTATAACAGCATGTATAATATGCCTTTACACACTTACAATGATTTTGACGAGTGACGGCGGCACGTTAAGTTCCTCCGGGATGATGATGGATCCTAAAACTCTCTCACTCTTAATATCATACACCGAGAGCCAGTCAACAGTGAACACTGTCAGGTCTCCCGGGAGTTCAAGCATCACGGTTTTCTTTACATACTTCTGAAGTGGGGTCATGCTGTAGAGAAACAGGGTAATGAGTGATGTTTTAAAGTACTGTGCTGTACAGTCAACTACTAAAGTCTGTTCACCTCTCCCCCTGAACTACAAACCCCTGGATTTAGACTCATGATTCCAAAGCGTTTATGGACACAATAATGTACAGTATCAGTCTACTGCTTTGGGTTCACGAGTCTGAATCGCAGGTTCGTGCCTCAGGAGGAGAGGCGTTCAGATTTTAGTTGACTTTACCTATTTGCTGTAATTTTAAATCTTGTGCAGGTTATACATTCTTCCAAACTCTGATTAACTTGACATCTTTACTGTGTCAAACTACACAATATATCGTATATTAAGAAATGTCAAATGTATCCTAAAAAAATCTGGTATATGCCCATTTACTCTACTCTGAAAATGTCACACATTCCCAAAATGTCTACTGTCAGTTAATGATGATCTAATCTAACCTTACTCAACATAACCTTACCTAATCTAACCACACCTAATAGGAAATAGACAAAATGTGAGTAGACAGACTGGGATGTTACTCGAAGTCTAACCAACCAAGATAATGAATTACTCACTATCCATGTTCATCAGGTATCTTTGTACCCTTAGAGTGAGGCTGAGGTCCAACACCAACCCAGAAGTAAACCTCCTCTCCAGTACCATCATAGTAGAAGTCTGAAACAATAGTCGGTGGTTAAAGTTTATCACCAATCATGAAAAATTGTAATCTTGTATACTATGGCAGAAGGTTTCCTCAGCTTTAAGTTTCTCTCAAACTAATCAGCCCATTAGCCACTTGGATGGTCTGTAATGTGTATGTTACAAACTGTTGGCAAGTACAGGCTCCAGAATGTATCTGAACCTGTGCAAGTGTTGGTCAAGTCTGGTCTTGAATAAAGTCACACTCAGTGTTGTCACAACACTCTCTGGCAGGTTATTCAGAAACTTCACAACTCTCATTCGAAAAAAGTTTGCCCTAACAATTTTCTGAACGTGTTTCTTCAACTTGAGGCTGTGACATCTAGTAACTTTGCTTTACCCTAAATGTGGTAAACAGAGAAACATTTAAGACTGTTATTTTTTTTTTCATATTTAAGAACAGAAGACACATCAAATCACAGTTCATAAAACCTTTACAGTACATGATAATGAGACTTGGTACAATACAGTATATAAAGGCCGTCTCTATCTCTCACCTTCCATAATTATAGTCTTGGAGTCAACAATGGTGACTGCACCAGACTTGGCCTCTCCTGTCTTAGAGGAAAGTTTGTTGAGGATTATCTTCTGTGGAGGCTCAAATCCCTCTGGAATGTAGACGTCACCAAAAGGTTCCTGGAAGATGTAGAAAAATATGTTTTCTATTACTATTCATTCTTTATCCTGCAAGAAAAGCTATGCCTTTATTAACCAAAAAAGTTTATTTTTAGTATCCTGTAATAAAATGCTGGATCTTGTGTCTGTAAGAAGAACATTGAGGGCAGACAACTTAGGGACATTAGTCTTGTCCACTATACAGTACTGTACCAGATTCCCCACAGTATTGTAATATTAACCAGTTTGTGTATTTTCAAATCCAAGACAATAATGATTGTTTTTTTCTATGTTATGTTACTGGTGAATGCATACAAACTACGGTAACTCACCAATCTACTGAGGTCATATATTGCCAACCATTTGATTTCTACGATGTTTTTCTTGTCTGGGAGTGTGAGGGTTATGTCTTTATTGAGGTAGCGGTCCAGAACGTTGGTCCTGGTGAGACAAAGATAAATACAGTACAGTACATGGTTAAAGTAGTATTGTATCCCATTTAATTAAAGTACAGTAATAATAACAGTACGGTATGTTGATAGCAGAGCAGCACTGTATGTAGCTTGCTTGCCTTTCACCACTAGTATCTACAGCTAACTTGGCATGTACAGTGACAAACAAAAGTCTTGCTGTCTCTCCTCAACTGCTGCTCTACGAACCCTGAGACTCGTGAACTCAAAGCAGTACTGTAGACATTGATACATTATTCTGTTAATAAATGCTTCGGATTCACGAATCACAAGTCTGAATCTCGGGGTTCGTGAAACAGCTGAGGCATTAAACAGCTTCTTTTCCTCGGTGTTCACAAGAGAGGATGCGATTAACCTTCCTGCATTTGAGGACAGACAGTTCGACACAGCACTGACCCACATTGTGTTCACAGAAGAGAGTATTAGAAATAAACTGTCAAAGCTAAAGGTCCATAAGAGTCCCAGCCCTGACATGGTGCATCCCAGAGTGCTAAGAGAGTTGAGCAACGAGCTTGCCGAGCCTCTGAAGATCCTGTTCTGTAAATGTTTGGATGAACAAAAGGTCCCCAGTGATTGGAAAATGGCTCGTGTGAGTCCTATCTTCAAGAAGGGTGATCATCACTCCACGAACAACTATATAGATCGTTGAGCCTGACCAGCATAATATGTAAAGTACTTGAGAGTATTATCAGAGATGCCGAGATGGAACATCTACTACGAAACAACCTTGTAAAGGTTTTATGCTGGGGCGCTCCGGCTTAACACAATTGCTCAAGGTATTGAATATTTGGACCCATATTCTGGAACGGGGTGGTAATATCGACAATATTTACCTAGATTTTCCCAAGGCTTTCGACACCGTACCCCACGAAAGGCTGAAAATCAAACTAGAAGGGTACGAAATTCGGGGAGATGTCCTAGCGTGGATAGAAGACTTTCTACATGACCGCAAGCAGTGTGTGGTGATTAATGGCACGAAATCATCATCTGTACCTGTCACAAGCGGGGAACCACAGGGCAGTGTATTGGGCCTGCTGTTGTTTCATAAATGACATGCCTGACGTTGTACACTCCTCCATACAAATGTTTGCCGATGACGCCAAGTTATTTCGGGAAATCAAGAACCAAGCGGACTGTGAAGAGCTGCAGAAGGACCTCTGTGGGCTCCAGGAATGGTCAAAGAAATGGCTGCTGAGATTCAATGTCACGAAGTGTAAGAGGATGCACCTGGGGCGTACCAAAGGTAAGGAGGCGTATATGTCCCAACGGGATGAAGAAACTGCACTAGTTGAGACTGAATGTGAGAAGGACCTAGGTGTGTATGTTGACAATGAGCTGAAGTTCTCGGGCCACTGCAAGAAGGAGATAAAGCAGGCAAATAAATTATTGGGTCTTTTAAGAAGGTCGTTCAGATATCTAGACGGTCCGTCCTTCGTAACGATCTTCAAGAGTGAAGTGCTTCCCCATCTGGTCCCCGAGATATGCGAGGGACTGTCAGTTGGTTGAAAATGTTCAAAGGATGGCCACCAGAATGGTACCTGCACTTCGGCACCTCAATTACCCTGAGAGATTGGAGCGCCGGAACTTGCCTAGCTTATACTACAGACGGGCAAGGGGCGACCTAATTGATGTGTATAAGCATCTCAAGGGGCACTACTCAGTCGAGTGTCCTAACTTGGAGCTGGCAGACGCTAGCCCAACAAGGGGTCACAGCTCAAGATTGAAGAAGCCACAAGTCCAGAAAACTGTGAGGGCAAACTTTTTCGGAGTGAGAGTTGTGAACTCTTGGAACAATCTGCCAGAAAGTGTTGTGATGGCACCGAGTGTGAGCTCTTTCAAGACCAGACTTGACCAACACTGGAGCAGGTTCAGGTACATTCAGGAGCAGGTGCATGCCTAGTACCTGCCAACAGTGTGTAACAGAGAGCCAATACATGACTAGTACTTGCCAACAGTGCGTGACAGAGGCTAACGAGCCGATCAGTGGTGAAGATAAAGGTACAGGGTAAAAATAAAAAAGTGACAGCTGGGCTATTACAGTATATTGTTCGTGACTGTACTGTACTGGACACTGATATTCTCGTCAATTATTTCTATAATGCTTGATAATGTGTGTGTACCATAATAATTTACATATAATTAATTACCTTCCCAGCTCATTAGGAACGATGAAACCCTGGGGTCCTGGACGGGGTCTGGAGCCAGCCCAGAAGTACGTGTCTCCACCATTACCATCATACATGAAATTCTTAATCAAGAATGTGTTTTCATCAACAGCGTACACGTCACCGCCAACCTATAAGTCAAAAGATATTAATAATTAAATTAAAAAAATAAATAAAAATGACCTCAACATAGTACTGTAGTTGGTATTAATTCAGATATTACAGCAATAACTCCTGAAAATAACTCATGCAGTACAGTACTGTACTAACAAGACAACCTTAAATACCTATATACAGTACTGTAGCTGCCTGCTGGTCACTCATTACACTCATGCTTTTCTTTTATCTCGGTTAATATCCTTGTGAACAAGATCTTACTTACTGTCACCTCCTCTGTCTCACGGTCCTCAGAAATAGAGATAACTTTATGTTCAAACATGAATATCAAACAGTAGAGTACCGTATGGCAATTTCCATCCTTACGTCCTTTTGAAAATACTGTACTGTAGTGACATTGTAAACTACAAAGAGAAAGAACTTGAGGAAAAAATTAAGATTAGAAGCTGTGAGACACTGTGAGTGAAAGTTTGGACCATGGTTACGTTGGGTTAGGTTATGTTTGATTAGGTTTTAACCACCCTGGCCCAAACATCCTACCCTCGTGAGACATACAGTACCTGGTGGTGGTAACTGTTGAGTTCTCCCAGTTTCTTGCCCACATAGGTGTCCGCACCCCGACACACTCCTGAAACAACACAATACATTACTGTACATCATCTCAACTCATGAAAGTTGGTTAAGTTCTTACATATTTAAGTTAAATACCCTAACAAGAAACTAAGATAACTTCCACTGTGCATGTACTACACAACACAACGCATTAAGTAAAGCTTTCACATTCATAAAACGAGGTATTGTAGTGGATGAGGAATCCACTACAGTATTACCTGATGGTTAGAGATCCCAACTTATATAATCACCTGAAGATTAATCACCTTGACCTAACCGAACCTTCCCAAGATTTACATAACGGCAGAGGTCAGGGCTATAATAACGGGTCTAATATGAAAGGAATACAATGGAAAATATACAGTCGTTTTATATTCCTTGTGGTGCAATCCCCTGAACTTCTAATTTGTAACAGTACCACAAGAGACCAAGTCCCAGGTTGATGATCTGACTTTGTGCCTCATTTACACACAATTGCAGGGTCTCAATTGTTTCTCTTACTGTTCACAACACAAAATACATACAGTACAGTATATTGTTTCTCACTTTAGATTTTTTTTGTATTTATGGTTATTATTATTGTTATTATTATTATTTTTTTTATTATAATTTTTATTTATGAATTACTATTATTATTATTATTACAGTTTCGTCCCACAGGCCCCGATGTGGGTCAGTGACCTGGAATTAACTTCAAGTTGTGGTCCTGCTTTCTTTTCTAAGTTCTCTGCTGCACGATAACATATAATGAAAAAAGTTAAATGTCTCACTGCTTTATGCCAGACCAGATGGGTGTGCAGATTAGAATGTGTCAAAGCTGGTAACCCATGACTCAAACCCATGACACACTAGTGGGATACGCATGTTACCAATGTACCACTATGGTGACCTTGACCCACTTGGTGATGGTTCAGACCTTCATCTTCAACACCGTCTAGATAATTACCTCTCCAACATTTCTTTACCTTCATCAACTTTCTCTCCCGGTCAATCGCTCACCCGTAACTACAGTGAACAATTGACGGTTCACTACCGTTTGGGGTATTATAACAAATTGGATCACCCGAAGAATCTCCACTCCAGCTCATTTCACCTAAAGATTAACTATCCTAACGCTAACCTAACCCTAAATAGTTTTAGGGTGGTTAATCTTTCGGTGAAATAAGCTGGGGTGGAGATTCTTCAGGTGATCCAACATTTGAACGACTACAGTATATAATGGTCCCTCGTGTGGACATCTGCACCCCCCCCCCTTGATATGCCACCAGCGAGATCATATATTTATTCGTTTTATCTTGTTTTATTGTTATTATGATACAACGAAACTGACAACAGGGATTATGGCAACACCAATTATGACATTTGGCTACGCTAATTATGTATAGATGATGATGATGATTTTTCCATTAAGATTCAGATTGTTGGTTGTACAGCGACAACACGGGTATCCCTCACAACTGTATCCTGGGTTCAGTTGAGAGGAAGATGTGGCAGAGATCAAGGAAGGAGAACGGATAGAAATAGCCGTACTGGGATTATCAAGAGACAGACAGTGTGTGTGTGTGTGTGTACCGATATATGGAAACAAATGTGTAAAGACGGTAACAAAACAATTATAAAAAGCATCGAAATTCAATTACAAAACTTTTTTAATCATGAGACTCAGAGGTGTCTTTTATGTTTGGTCTAATATAAAAACTTTACAGAATCTGGACGAGTTATTTTTCCATTAACTCATTTTCTTCCAGTCTTTAGGTATATTTTGTTCTCTTGATAAGCTTCCTGATTGCCTCGCTAGCTAGTAAACGGGTACCAACCAACACGGAAATACCAGTTTGAGTGCTTCTGAGCAAACTGTACAAGGTGGGTAGTGTGAATTAAAAGCCACGACGGATGATCTCATTACGATTACTGTCCACAGAGTTGAGAAGACTGTATGCCCTGGTAAGGATCACAGACCTTACGACAGAGTGTGGTATACGGCTGTTCTCCACCAGTCAAATGAAACTGTTGATCAAGGTGACCGACTTGTTCCTGAAATGTCGCGCGCATTTCAGTTTTCATCGTACAGTACAACCAACGCACCAGTCGCTCTGGACCACAATGGGACACGAGCACTTATGTCCCAACAGCATTTTTAACTAGTCGTCATAAACTGCAGGAATAATTAAGCACCAAGAAATGCGACTACTCCGATCGTATTTGAGAGTTGATGAGTGTGGGAGCAGATGGAGGCCACTGTGAGGTATACCTGCACATCACGGGGGCCACACCCAAGGACGTCTTACCAACTTGCAAACAACGCACATCACCCAAACTTCACAACAATTCAATACAAATTTTTAAAAGTAAGGAGTGGCACGTAAGGAGAGGGAGTGCACCAAGAATGAAAGCAAGTATAACCTTTAAACCCTGGGAAGTAGGACGTCAAGGTAGGGGCAGTAAATGTCAGACGGCGGTCAGTTTCAGCTGGGTGACGCAACTTCCACACCACCACCACCACGCACCTTCAGTTTTTTTCTTTAGTGACTTTCTGGCAGACACTACAGCAGCCTCATGGGACTGAATATCGCCAGAGTACTCATGTGATTTTGTTAGGCTGTACGTTTATAATACAACAATCAATTTATCCTTTGTTTGTCTCTAAATTCATTACGATTATCTCCATACATGCACCATCAAAGTCGATCTATTGTACTATACAACACTGACTTTTGCCTTAGCTCACTACCGGTACTAGCTTCCCCGTTCTATGTCTCCACTTTATTCTAACTTTACCTATCGATCGTATCTTGTCTCCTACAACTCATCCAAGAACAGTATCCAACAATTCCTTCCGCGTGTATTCTATACCATTTCAAAACTCGTATCTTTCACTACTTCGACATCGAGTAACCTAGCTCGATACCTCGGGCATATGAAAATGACGTCAGCGTCTGTGAAACCCACAATTCCGGAAGTGTCATTATCAATGTGTAAAAGCTTCTCTCAGCCACCTCAGTAAGGTCGTTTAACAGTGTAGGCTTATTATCAAGGCTCACAACTTCTTGACTACTTTTATTACTAAATACTGAGCCAGACGTTCATTAATACTATATGGTCTTGATAATGCAGTCTTATACTGAACTGTACGTGCTCTCTCTCTCTCATTCGCAGTTTGTAATTCTTAACTGGGAAGAAGAGAGAGCGCGTCCAGTTGCACACCAATTTTTCCTGCTGTCTTTGAACCGCAGCCTCCATTTTATTCTCCCTCCATTAAAAGGAACAAACATATTTATTAAACGGTTTAACATTGCATCCAGATATGGACAGAAACATTTTCTTTACTACCAATTGATGCAGTTTCTATGAATAATAAATATGAAACATAATCAACGGTACTCTATAAATACACGAACACCTTCGCAATACGGTACCTAATTCCCTACCATCAACACCTAACAAACGCTGCTGCTGCGACTGCCAGCCGAGTGAGTGACGACCAGAGAAGAGCTGCGTAAGTAAAGTGTCGTGCATCAGTCACCGGAACAAAGATGAGAGTCACGCTTCACGCCATGAGTAAAGGAGTGTTGGTGAAGGAGATGGAGTCCTTCCTTACTGGTTTGATAACCGCGCGGCGGAGTGAGAGACCAACAGGGACTAAGAACAATAAAAGGAATGTGGACTGGACTACTTACAATAAATGGACTAACATTTGATTGGAAAGCATGTCAAATTCTTAAATATTAATTAATAACAACAAATATGTGAAGCGAAATAACTTACTGAGGTCTGATAATATCATGGAATAATTTAGTATTAACATATGAATGGAAAGCAAACTTTCATGACAAAACAATTTTTAATAAAAGCATCTAAAGTTTAACGAGTTGCTGGGGACTGACTGTAAAATAAAAAATATAAAAGTAATCGTGGAGTAATGTAGGAGCATCAGAATAATAATGAGGCTAACTTAAAATCAGATAGTGTAACGTGTTCAGCTGTGTGTGTCTCACTGATGCTGGGGTGAGCACTGCATCCCCCCCCCCCCTCACGTACGAGTAACTGTATCCTGTTCGCTCACGATCCTTAATGGTTCCTATGTTATATTTTTTAAAATAAAATGCATGTAATTTATTCACTTAAACAAAGACAGATTCTCAAAGGTTCGTATGCCCCCCCCCCCCACTGAGAAACTCTGAATTTATGGTCCCAGGGAGGGAGTACAGACTGTACTGTAAAGTGTGTTCGGGGGATACCACGTCTTGGTTTTAACGCTGTAAAAAAACTTAGGTGAGTGAATAAGTGACAAACGTGAGTCATATACAGTACACACTCCTCTCCCTACAGGGTACCATGATGTCAGTGTTCACGGTCCAACATCACGGCATGGCACGCACACACACCGATGACATCACCATCTTACGTCATAGTTTATGGAGATGACCAATGAAGGCGCGACCACCCAGCAGGAGCTTATTGGCTTAGGCTTCATCTTCCTTCACACTCTTCTACCTAGTCCCCACAGTCCCGCTTTACATCTTCATCCATACAGACCCTCACTTCACTTGGTTCACTCGCATCAACACATTAAAATAACAACTTACCATAAATTAAAGTTGCAATCTTTGCCTGTCTCCATTTGTGTATCTCATTAATTATTACTTTGTACTTCATCATATGGTGATACATATTCACTCAATCTCAAGTACAGTACTATCATAATACAAGTGTTGTGTTCCGGACACTGAGATTTGACTCCTGTAACGCTGACATTTGAGTTTTGACATAGATTTGAATTTGGTAACCAGCATTTGCCGCTTTCGCTAATAGTGACACATCCTGGTGAAGTTGGTTATGTTTTTATACGAATTATACTCCGGACAGTCATGAATGGTGCATTAAAATAAATGAATAATAGAAGAAAGGCAGCAAAGTCTGTGTTAGTGAGAGCAACAACATAGATAAAACTTAAAATATGCAATAGAGGCGTCACGTTTGATAAATGATTGGAGAAACTGGATGATGAACTAATATTAGTAACATGATCGAACCTCGCCCCTGTTACTCAACTTATTACGCATAGTATATAATTACTGTATATGGCATTGTGATGTAGTGTGGGTGGTAAACCTCCCACCTGTATACTGTGAGTGCAACATGAGAATATAAACAAGTGTGTGTGTGTGTGGATAAATCTACCAGTGATTTTAATTAACCCTCTTACCCCGCCACAAACACACTTTATTTAAGAGATATCTATCACCCTTTGATCCATCTCGCAAAACTGTGAAACATATACATAAAACGAATAAGAAAATAGAAATCACAATTTAATCAGGCCACCCTGAGGTTTCTGGAGGCATGTGAGAGATGGAGGCATCTGTGTGCGTCAGGTGGAAGTCGCCGCCGCCAGACTCACGGTACGGTACTTGTGGCCGCGTTTAAGTTTCCACCAGCTGGCAGCGCTTCCCACGGAGGCCGCTTGTCTGCACCGGAAATCACTCACCAAATATCAAAACAACTAACTGCATCTTATCTAAAGTATTAAACTTGATAATACAATATGCAAATCAGACATTTCTTAAAGTTCATCCTTAACGTACGAATAAAAAACATGTAGAATGAACCATCTGAACCGGAACATGTAGAATAGACCATCTGAACCGGAACATGTAGAATAGACCATCTGAACCGGAACATGTAGAATAGACCATCTGAACCGGAACATGTAGAATAGACCATCTGAAACCGGAACATGTAGAATAGACCATCTGAACCGGAACATGTTAGAATAGATTAAGCTGAACTTGGAACATGTAAAGATAGACCATCTGAACCGGAACATGTGAATAGATATCTGGAACGGAACATGTAGGAATAGACACTGAACCGGAACATGTAGAATAGACAAGCATCTACGGAACCGGAACTGTAGAATAGACCATCTGGAAAGCAGGAACATATAGAATAGGCCTTAATTTAGACATGCACAGAATGAACCATCTGAACCGGAACATGTAGAATAGACCATCTGAACCGGAACATGTAGAATAGACCATCTGAACCGGAACATGTAGAATAGACCATCTGAACCGGAACATGTAGAATAGACCACCTGAACCGGAACATGTGGAATAGACCATCTGAACCGGAACATGTAGAATAGACCATCTGAACCGGAACATGTGGAATAGACCATCTGAACCGGAACATGTAGAATAGACCATCTGAACCGGAACATGGTAGAATAATGAGCCACCTGAACCGGAACATGTGGAGATAGGCCACCATGCCGGAACATGTAGGTGAGCCACCTGAACCGGAACTGAACCGGAACATGTAGAATAGACCATCTGAACCGGAACATGTAGAATAGACCATCTGAACGGAACATGTAGAAATAGACCATCTGAACCGAACTGAATAGACCATCTGAACCGAACATGTAGAATAGACCACCTGAACCGGAACATGTAGAATAGCCACCTGAACCGGAACATAGAATAGACCACCTGAACCGGAACATGTAGAATAGGCCATCTGAACCGGAACATGAATAGACCATCTGAACCGAAACATGTAGAATAGACCATCTGAACCGGAACATGTAGAATAGACCATCTGGAACCGGAACATGTAGAATAGACCATCTGAACCGGAACATGTAGAATAGACCACCTGAACCGGAGCATGTAGAATAGACCATCTGAACCGGGAACATGTAGAATAGACCATCTGAACCCGGAACATGTGAGATAGACCGCCCGAACCGGAACATGTAGAATAGACCATCTGAACCGGGTTATGTGGAATAGAACATGAGACATGTGAATAGACCATCTGAACCGGAACATGTAGAATACCATCTGGACAGAACATGTGAATAGACACCTGAACGGAACATGTAGAATAGACCATCTGAACCGAACATGTGGAATACCACCTGAACCAAACATGTAGAATAGACCAACTGAACGGAAGAATAGACCATCTGAACCGAACAGGGAATAGACCACCTGAACCGGAACATGGAATAGACCACCTGAACCGGAACATGTAGAATGAACCATCTGAACCGGAACATGTAGAATAGACCATCTGAACCGGAACATGTAGAATAGACCATCTGAACCGGAACATGTAGAATAGACCATCTGAACCGGAACATGTAGAATAGACCACCTGAACCGGAACATGTAGAATAGACCATCTGAACCGGAACATGTAGAATAGACCACCTGAACCGGAACATGTAGAATAGACCATCTGAACCGGAACATGTACAGTAGAATGAACTGCATGAATAACATTTTTAAGATGGACCACCTGTACCACAACGAAGTATGGACCGCTTGTACCACAATCACAACATAAAAGAGTGAACCGCCGGAACCGGAACTTCCAGAGTTTGGACGCGTGGAAGTGAACGCCGCCAGTAAACATGCTTCCCAAGATACTTTCCCGGGGAGTGCGAAGTGACCGCAAGGGAGAGATAACCACCCAGTAACGAGTTGGCGAACCTGTTCCAACTTCCACCCACTCTCCCACTTGGTGCCGTGAGAAACAGCTGATTTAAGTTGGTCGTGTGTGGTGCGGGAGGCGATGAGGCTGCTTCACATGATTACTGTTAAAAAAAACATGAAAGAACATGTGTGTGTGTTGTACACTAGAACGACGTCCGGATTATAATGGATCCCTATTTCTGAGTAGCTAAGTATATGTACTCGACTTAAGATGAAGTGACACTGTGATCAACATTTCTAGAATCATATCGAAAATACAGTAATTTCTGAAGGTGAAGTATAACATGCACATACAGATTACATACAAACACAAGTCTTCATTCAAGCACATATACATAACACAAAGCTATACATACTGTACAAGCACGTACAGTAACATAATCTACACACACACTTGATGAACACTTCAAACTTTCACCCCTTTCAAATTGTACACTTCACTTGACGCCATTCAACAGTAGCTTTACCACACCCCCACAATTGTCTACGCAATTATGGTTCCCAACAATGACAAATATGTGTCATTTCCACAATGGATCTGTTCAGTGTTAAGAGACTGGGTCAGTGGGTGCACACATTCCCCAGTATGGTTAATAATATACTAGTGTCTTCTCCTGTGTTCTGTTATAAAATACAGTGATCAGATGACAGGACTAAGAAATGTTACAATAAGTAGGAACATGTGACTACGGTCTTACTTTTAACCCGTGTGTGGAACTTCATTTTTAGAGAAGCATGCCCATGAAAGATACTTTAAAAACCAACTTGTACCATAATATGTACCGTACTTTACCTCGTAGGTACAGGTGTTGCATCATAATACTCTAGTACATCGCTGTACCACATATGTATAGGGTGGACGAGTGTAAAAGTGAAGGTTAAATAAGATATGTGTTTGTGGTATTCCAGATCAGGTTAGCCAAGGACAGGCTGGACGGGCAGGGAGGGGAAAGTCCTGTTAACGGTGTCTCCACCTTCAACACTACCGTGTGTCTTAATCACCAACTTCGTTACTTTTATTTAACATATGAACAGCTAGAAATACTCCCCCTCCGCTATACAAGTTTCAATCACGCTATAAGACTGAAACTGGAACAACAATCTGGAACAAATGAAAACGAAAGTCCTTTCTCTTCAAGACTACATACAGGTACAAGTGAATTTCACCTGCCAGGTATTTCCTCGAGTTATTTTATGTTAGTATACTCACCGATTAATATGCTGGTAATCACAACGCCGATGATTCCTCTGTGTTCCATACTGATGAATGGTTATCGTACTAAATTCATTATGGACGTCATTAACACACACATACTTCGAGAGAGACGCTTCATACACCCTTCCCTCACCAACACCGAGGAGCAACTGACAGCATGGAGATTGGATTGGAGGTCACTGGATGATATTATTCCTAATTTTTAACATAGTTGTGTTTTATATATATAACCTATTTTTTTAGCAATGTTCTTTTTGTTTTTTATATTCAATAACAATTAAAAATCAAAGCCATTTTGACCAATGAAGTGGAAACTGAATGTCGTCGAACTGCCAGACGCACGATATATGGCTTTTAACTACATAAAATATATTTACTTGTTATTGATCAAGTATATATACAAAACAGGTAGTAATTACTTAGTTTTGTTAATACATCACTTCGGTTGAAAGCTTATTAGTCTTACAATGTAATTCTAATAAGGTACCATTGAAACATTTAGGGAGAACGAAGTCAATATGTTTGCATTTCTTACTTTAAATATAACACTTATCCCTTAAAATTAGTTATAATTACTCGTAGTTGAACTGTTGGTGTAAAACATAGAGAGAGAGAGAGAGAGAAGAGAGAAAGAGAGAGGTGAGGGTGAGAGAGAGAGGGGTGAGTGAGTGAGAGAGAGAGAGAGAGAGAGAGAGAGTACACCAGAAATATTACACGACCTATATTATATAAGTATAGACTGTCGAGGCAAAGGAAGGAACTTGACATATGAATTTATTTAGTCAAGATTCAAACAGTAGAAACATACATATGTAAACATTTACCTAGAAATGAATACTGTACTTAGAACATTATGAAGGGGTAAACAAGATATAGGTAATAATAAGAAATACAGAAATATGGAGATATGGAAGGGAGACAATAAGGGAGAGTACCAGATGAAGAAACCTTTGAAGGCTTCAGAAATGGATGCTAGGAGGGAGAAGGAAAGACTAAGGAGATAAGAGAATGGGGTAAAGGATACTGTACACAAGTAGTTAAGATATCCAGGAAGCTGCAGTGTTTCAATACTGTACCAGCTGAAACTGACATTCATTGGTATATGGGGACGTCACAGCAGTAAGAGTTAATGGATGTGATCGAGTGAAAGGAGTCTATTTACGCTCTTAATTTTGGCCACCTTATACCATATCAGAAGAAGACATTAAAAATAAAAATAAATAATAACAATTTCTGTCAGACAATCTCGTTCAAACTGCCTCATTGTTTACTGTTGTTCTACACTTGCACAGTTTAGGTATTGATAATAGTATACCTCCACAGTGTATGTACACCCTATAGGTACTTGCATTGTCTATACACATGCTGAACTGTTTCCCTACATAGTCTATATACTGTACTGTACTATACTGTACTGTACTGTAATGTACTGTACTGTACTGTACTATAATGTACTGTACTATAAATACCAAACAAACTGGAAACCGGTATGAAGATTTTATTGAATAAATTTATTACTGTTATCATTATTACAGTATTATTATTACATTATTACACAGTAGTTCCCAAATTTTAGTTGCTAGCAGATCAGACTTGGCAGTTTGGTAAAGTTTATGACTACTGCACTGTACACTAACACATAAGTTCAGTCATCATATGTATGAATTATACAGTACATCACCTCAAAGTATACTGTAGTAAGTACTGTACCTGGTCATGTTATATACTGTACACAATCTAACCCTCACCAGTACCTGTAGTACAGTGGAGGCATCAACTCCTTACTCATTAAAAACATTTAAGTTATAGTCTTCGACGTATGAGGTGGATCCATGATGTAGAATTCTCTATCCAAATGCCTCGTCGAGTGTACAAAGCCTTTAATGGAGGAAGTTTGAACCACAAGTGATGGAAACTCTCACTATTCTTCCGTGACAATGTCTTGATGACCAGAGAACCAACATCACCTCATATCTCACATCACCTACAGTATCAATGTGAACTTGAGTAACTCCCCAATACAGTAGTGTCTGGCTACAGTATGCAGTATAAGATTCACACATATTAACTCACACAATAAACAATCATCTACATTGTCTTTAGGATATATTATCAGTGCATAAACAACTTGTACTAGAGTGTTCTTTATTTACAGCCAAAACAATTAGTAAATATACTCCCAAACCTTTAACAATATATAGCTACAGTCATAAAACTTTTCTTCATATCTACAGTGTTCACATGAGTACAGTGGTCCCTCGGTTAACGAGCACAATTCGTTCCAGAAGGTTGCTCGTTAACCGAAACCATTGTTTCAATGGGTTTTTGGGTAATTGGTTCCAGCTCACCGAAAATTACATACAAACTAAAAATAAATGCAATAAAGTACACTTACTTTGAGGTGTGCATGTAGAAGGCTCCTGGTTGATGATGATGGGAATTAGAATGAGGGTGGAGGAGAAGGGAGAAGAGAAGGCATTGGGGTGGAAGAGAAGTCACCCCATGCAGCCATTTCACCCATAAAATTTTAGTTCACTTGGTGTAATTCAAGATTATTTTCTTTAAATCAACATTGCACTGCGCTATATATTATCAATATGTAAAATATATTTCAAAATGATCAATAATTTGACTGGAAACACAGAAAAAAAAGCATTTATGTTGAAGAGTCTCAAACAAGATGTTCCTTCCTCTGAACTGGTAAACAAACTGACGCCAAGCTTGGTGTGTTGAGTGGCTGTTTGGCGTGCAAAAAACTAGTTTCCTGTACTTCAATTATGTTCAATAATTGTTAAAATTACTAAAAATTTGAATATAAGACTTTTAAAATTATTGAATAGTACAATCTTCTTGATATTTACTAAAATGGTAAGGAGTTTAAGCCCTAAAACCGATTACTATATTGGCGGACTAATACTACAGCTGGTGGGCAGCCAAATGCAGGCGAAAACATGGGAACAATTTTTAAGGAATTCGTTAACCGAGGGTTTGCTCGTTAACCGAAGTGAAGAAACTTATGGAAGGTAATTAATTAACCGAAATTTCGCTAACCGAGGCGCTCGTTAACCGAGGGATCACTGTACAATGAGTCAGGAAAACGAACAAAGTCTACACAAATTTAGTATTCTGGGTTATGATTCCAATAACATAATTCATAGTAAATGTTTTTGTGTTACTAGTCACTGTTACATTAGTTACTTGTTAATACCTGAAACAGCTGCTATGGGAACATGTGAATACAAGCTTCTAATTGCTAATAAATAAGCAGCTATGTTTCATCAGGCATGGAGGTTGTGATACGCAGTCCGTGCATGTCCTTTATTTCAGCTTTCAGGGTCTGTAAAAACAACAGATATAATAACATTACTCAAAAGCAATTAGTTATCATTTTTATTATTATTATTGGAACATGCGGATGACTTGTCTGGCACAAAATATGGACTGGAGATTCTAAACTTAATTTTTCTTTACGTTAAATTACAAAATGATTAATATAACGACAGGTCAACCTTGATTTATGGATACTTAAAGACATGAAGAAAAAATTATCCATAGCAGCAATTAACTGGACGAAAATTCCAGAGTTATGTTAGTTGATCATCACACAGGAAGATGGTGAGGTGCTGACACAGGCACTTAACATGGTACATTTTAGGGAGCACATGTACTATGTTTAGTGAATGTAATATCCCCCATAAGGAAGTAATAGATGAAAGGAAAGCATGTGTACACAAGGCGGATCCAGAAAATTCCAATATTTTTTCTTTAATGCAGTATTGTATGCAGGCATTTTGTATCATAAAAAGTATTCACTATTGACCTCAGAATATCTCATAATATCAAGTGCACATGACTTCAAAATGGCCTCAAAATGCCCATGATATTGGTCATATTTCAAAATATTTTCAGGTATATATATATATATATATATATATATATATATATATATATATATATATATATATATGTATGTATGTAATGTATGTATGTATGTATGTATGTATGTATGTATGTATGTATATATTGTATGTATGTATGTATGTATGTAGTAATAGCATGTATGTATGTATGTATGTGTATGTGTGTGTATGTATGTATGTATGTGTGTATGTATGTGTGTACATGTATGTGTGGCATGTGTGTGTGTGTGTGTGTGTGTATGTGTGTGTGTGTGTGTGTGTGTATGTGTGTGTGTGTGTGTATGTGTGTGTGTATGTATGTATGTATGTATATATATATATATATATATATATATATATATATATATATATATATATATATATATATATATATATATATATATATATATATATATATATATATATATATATATATATATATATATACAATCAACACCTCACCCTGCCAGGATTCGAACCCACTGCCCACGAGCCCATGACTGTGACCGCGGGACGCTACCTCTGAACCACCAGGATACTAAAAGCAGTCCTCGAGTCTATTATATTTCAAACAAAGCCTGTTCAGCGAGCTTATGGCGCCGTGAACCTCTAATGGGGACTACCCGTATCACGTAGGTGGTCAGAGTAGCGTTTTACCAAATCCGGCTTCAAAACACGAGGATCATAGATATTTCATTAACCCAATAAGATAAGCGTTCCCGGTCTGATGCGTGGGCTGTAGGTTCGAATCCTGGCGGGGTGAGGTGTTGATTATATGTAGAAGTCTCGTGCTTTATTGGGCTATTAGAGTATATATATATATATATATATATATATATATATATATATATATATATATATATATATATATATATATATATATATATATATATATATATATATATATATATATATATATATATATATATATATGCCATAGCTGAGTTTCCCTTCTCACCTCCACCCTCAGTGCGATCCAACATCACGTTAACCCCACAGAGGCTTCACATAATAATGGACCCTCGATATAACAGACATTCATCTCTATATAGTTCATTAGATGGAGGCTTCACATCTAACAGACCCTCAGTATAATTTACTTTCTTCTCCATATAGTCCATTAAATAAGAGGTCTCACTGTGTGTGTACTGTATCTTGAGGTGAAGTATTTTAATGTTCTCTCAATTTATCTTCCCTAGACACAGTACTGTACAGGATGTTGTAAACTATATAACTAAATACATTTTCCTGACCCACCTCAGTTATGAGTTTGTGCTGTTTCACTCTGGATAGTCCTTTAAAGTCCGATGCTTCTACCCAAACTTCATACATGGATCCACAACCACCTGTGACAGAAGAGTAACATCATTCAACAGTCAACTAATGAAAGGCATCAGTCAAAAAACAACAATACAGCGACAACTTCTTTTGAACCCCTTCACTACGGGGACGCCAGACGATTTCATTCATCTCGGAGGCGACCACAAACATAAGGGGTTAAGAGTAACATATAGCGACCTATTTTTTACCAATATTTTAGATCTTAACTTCTGCTCCATAATTATAATCTTACCAGATATGTCTTGGACTTCCACAGCAGATGCTTGAGGGAATCGTTGTCTCAGCAGGTCAGTCAGTTTGGCCTCCCCATCAACGGTGGCAGAATCACTAAACCATCGCACAGTTCCCTATCAAACAACAAAAGACTATATGAAGACAGCTCTGATTCGTCTACAGTACAGTGTCCCATATGTATAGGAAGGGTTAAATTTACAGTTACCATAATAAATATAGGAGAAAATAAATATATGTTTTTACTATTTTGAATGTTTCACAGACATTAATAACAAAGCTACATATTCTGTTTTATTCAGTAAAATACAGTATACAGAACGGCTGGATAATTCGCGGATTTTTATTTCGCGGTCCTCTATTATTTGCGGAAGACACCCTGGATGTACCCAAGAATGTCTGCAGCTAGTTTGAAAGTTGCCGGCATATTCGCAGCCGGGACAGGGAGCCATTAGTTCTAGAGACAGTAATTTACTTTACCTGTCTTTGTGTCTCTAATGTTGAAAATTGGAAACCTGCGGACAGCCAATGGACAAATATTAACCACCGTCTGTCCTCAAACGCAAGAAGATTGTTAGCATCCTCTCTTGTGAACACCGAGGAAAAGAAACTGTTCAACGCCTCCGCCTTGTTCTGGTTAGAACCTGCCTAACTACCATCTTCAAGCCTCAGGTCCGACACTCCTCCGTATTCGCACTTTTAATTTCGACTTTGCGTAGTATGGTCTTTATTATGATATTAAAAATAGGTTTTTCATATGTATTTTGATGAGTTTCGAACGAATTTCATATTCATTTCCACCAGAAATCACGTGTTTTTTTAGATCACCCCCCATCACAATCATAACGGAAAAAGTTGGATTATTTTAGAATAAATAACAAATTATATTACCAACCAACCAAGTAAACCTAACCTATCAACATAAGAACAAAAGAATGGAGGAAACTGCAGCGGACCTATTGGTCCCTACTGGGCAGCCCTAACCAGGAGGCCTGAGCAGGGGGTCAGACCACCTCCGCTGTAGGCAAACAAATCATGGCAAAACTTGTCACTGAGCTTAAGTAATAATCATGAAAAATTAATATCTCGGTCATCCTTAATTTCCGGTGGAAATGTCATAAAAGAAAAACGTCTTAGAATTGTGTAGACATTACGTGATACACATTTTTAATACAGAAATAAACACCGATGTGATACTATAAATTCACCGTTTTCTTCAATACATGTTTTACATTAGGTGGTTGCATAACATAACCTAGACCAGTCATCAATAATTACCCTAAAATGTCCTTAAGTTACTGATTAACCTGACCTGACACCAGGTTTTACCAAAACTGTAGTCGAGAAATCTCTTTCTATCCAAAATTTTTGTAAAAGTTTGTCAATAAAACTTAATTAAGCCATTATAGAGTTATCATTTAATCAAAACTGAAGATAAATTCAGTTTGTTACTATACCTGAAGCCTGGAGAGTGTGTTAAGTGGCAGCTTTAGTCTCCGGTACACCGCCATCACACCTCTCACCCGACACACTAGTTCCTCGTGCACCTATGGCCATAATAAACAACCATAAATTAATAAAATATTCATTCTGTGCTCATTTTATAATATATGAAAATGTCAATTTGGTTATTTTCGATTAAATTTGTCAACTTAAGAAAAAACAATATATATATACAGTATATGTTAACAGAGTGGCCAGCCTCACAAGAGAGTAACGAGGCGGCCTGAGTATAACTTACCATTACAGTAAATAATATAATTAATTCCTTATACAGTAATTTTAAACAACATTTTCATATGCAACACATATATTAAGGACAATGCAAGCTGCATATTTAGGCATTTTAGCAGTTATAAAGTCTTCTTTCTATTATTACATATCTATTGTCCTGTTTTCCAGTTATATATCATTATTAATCCCTGTACAGGTGTACTGTACTGTACATGTTGCTTAATGTTTTAGATGATCACTTGAGGGTTCCTGGAGTGAAAATTAGGGAATACCTTGATGACTTTATTTAATAATCTCGACTTAAACCTAAGGCTGATACATATTAGTATATCGTGCAGTCTACAAAGATATCTTTAGTCTTACTCAACCTAACTTTAGAACATAAGAATAGAGGAAACTGCAGCGGGCCTACTGGCCCTTACTGGGCAGTCCCATTTACCGGTACACCCAACCCCTATCGGTCTGACTAACTACCCAAATGTAGCCAAATATAGCCGGAATGAAGTCAAATAATGGTCCTAGATGAATAAATCGGACTGCCAATCACTTCTCGACTAGTATTTGGTGTCAGAAAGTCACAAAAAATTGGAAAACTTACTTTAATCTGAGTTAATAGATCAAGTGCATGTACCTAATCTCACCTAACCTAACCTAACCTAACCTAATCTAACCTAACCTAACACAACACAACTCAGATTAAATTAAGTTTACCAATTTTTTTTTACTTTATGAAACCAAATAATAATCGAGAAGTGATTCACAGCCCGAATTACGCTTGTACGACCATCATTACCGTGACTCATCATTACTCCTAAATCTTTCTCACAATCGGATATCTCTCTAACATCGTTGTTCATCTGATATCTGGTTTCTGTTTACAGTAAGTATCGAACAGTACAGTACCTAGCTACATACAAGTACTTTTAACTCTTCAACATGGTGTGCCACTTTTAATATTTGATAGAGCCAGCTCCAGTACTCAACTACAAGGCAACACAAGAGGTTAATATTCATCCTGAACTGTAAAACATCAGCATTTTGTTACAATAGCTTCTCATGTCAAGCAAAAGTCTGAATTTACAGGAACTTGGGGGTCTAAATTCCATTGGTTGGCATTGCTGTGCAGTACTTTTTCCAGTACAGGTACTGTTTAGGTGAACGTGATAACTCACTTTAAGCAGATGCTCCACCCCACCTGGGTTATGTCTGGCATAAATATATGACAAAAGAAGGATAGGAAAATAACAACTAAGTAGAATCTTGTATATTTACATATAAATAAAAGCAGTAGGTTCACAACCTCTTAATCTTTGTATGATCAAGAAATAAGTAGATGATTTTTTACATAATGGTTGACCACGTGAAACAAAGAGATGCTGTGTGGGGTTAATCTATGGTTTTGATTCTGGTTTATTTATAGCTGGACAATGTTTGTGTTGGAGCAACTTGCATCATTATTCATTTTTTCACTCACCTTTTTTTATTATACAACTTACAACTGTAACAATTTAAACAAGAATTTACATTTTTTACAAGTGACTGACACCAAAACAATTTAATAAACCCCAGAGCTTCCCATGAAGTGTTGATCAAGACAGGAGATGGTCCTATCCAGTGTTATCAAGGTACAGTACAGTAGAATATAAAACTAGTTAAACAGTGATGGCTCCATCACAACAGTGACCAGGTAGACCCTCAACCCTGGTGGTCGAGGAGACACACCACATGGTCGAGGAAGAGAATAATCTGGTGCTTTGTAAAACTTCAGGAGGAGGTGGGGGAGTTGGTCTATTATACAGTGGAAAAATATACATACACATGCTGCATTAGCAAAATACATATGACACATGGTAAGGCCTTCACTCCAACCCATGGTAGAGAAAAAAATAAACTAAATTGAGGAAAAACTTGGATTAGTGACACAGATAAGGGGGAAATAATCTGGAATGTAGAGTCTTGGTGACGACAGCTCAGCTGGCCTTGGGTCTGACACACTCCTAGTACTGTACTGTACTGTGCAGTAATTAATGAAAAACCCACCAACAAAGTTCAAAGCAAAATACACAATTTTGTTTTATTCTTTTAGCAACAACTATGTGTGATTTCAGTTTCAAGAAAAAAAAGCTTGCATGCTAGCATTATGAAATGTGTTTAACAACTATATTGTGACCTAAATTGAATGGTACCACAGTAAATGAGAGGGAGTATTAAAGGTAAGGTGTCCCTCCAGCCAGCTGCTCTGCGTCACACCTCCTTCTCATACACCTCACCGTTCATTACCTCATAAATAAAATAAACAGTACTCTTATATGTTACAAGAAACATACTAAGAACTTGGTAAAATATTTTTTACACAAAGTCCATGTACAATTACAATATCCAGTTACCTACTGAAGATTTAAAAAATACACCTTCTAATATATGACAATGTAAGGCTGTGGTTACTTAGTCAGTAAAATCACTGGAAAAGAAGAGTTTTATATGTTTATCACAACACACCCACAGAACAAAGATGCGTCAGCTTGCGATGGTCAATATAGTGTCCTTCCTCTCAACCTTAATCCAACGGGCCGATCCATTTTCATACACATCTCATGGCAAATGTCTTCAATCTACGTCCATTGATTACGTCTTCTAATGCTGTCCAACGTTTCACGTGCAAAATATACTCCTACAACCCCATCACAGTCTGTTGTCTCATGATAAATGAGTTATAAAATTAATCAATTTACATTTCTAAAGTTAAGAACACTTAATAAGAGAATTATTGTCTCATATTGTTTATATTTATGACAGGTGAGAGGCAAGTCTAAGTGTGTATCTTATGTTGTCATAACCTTTAAGTGTATGATGCTCTTGGTTCAATATAAAGTAAATCATTTTAATTGTCATCAAATGTCTGGTGTTAATAATACAATACACTTTATTAAGTCAGCTACAACAGTTTCACCAAAAATATTTTGAGTAGAAGACTGAAAGTAGAAAACCTAAGTTTATAGAAAACAGATTTTTCTGATACGTTCCCAGCAGCACTGTGTGTATGGTCCTCCCGGGGGAACCTAACACGACATCCCAACAAAAACATCATAAGGACATTTCCCCATTCTTCATTTTATTACAACTTGGCATTTTGTAACCCTCAGCTACTTTTTATTATTGTTTTCTTAACATTTTCTAATTGTCAACTTAATTTTGGAACATTATCTTGACACTTACACCAAACCGTATTTGTTCATAAACTTCTCTAGTCACTTAACAATTAAGAATAATGTTGGTGATAAAATAGTGTTATTTGTCTGTTTACACTTGCAGCCCAACTGCACACTTAAATTACTTCTATACAAAATCTTATTTCTGGAACTGGTAGAAAGGAATGCATCAGTGTAGCATATTGCGGTTGCAAATATCAAAATTTATTGGCCTCGTTCCTGCAACTGGCAGAGAGGAATGTATCAACATATTGTCATTGTAATTATATGTGCATATTAATGATACAGTTATGCCTGCCCAGGCCCAGAACTTCATCTTGAACATCACCAGTTTGATATGATACTGTACTGTTCCACCACACCAAGATGAAGGTGCCTGTCCTGGAGGGGAACACCTGTAATACTCATTGGATATACAGAACAGTACCAGATTTTTTTTTCTTTTTTAGACTTTGTAAAAATATGTCCACCACTGTGAGTGGTGGTGAATGTATTAAGTTGTATGTGAAAAATGTATTTTCATATTACTGTAGATCATACTTTTGTAATATTACTTTAGTGGAAATCATAATATCAATTAAGTAAAAAATCACATGTACCCGGTATGTACAACACACTTGTTTCACTTCACACTACAGTAGTAAAGGTTTTAAACCTTTACTTGAGGCAGTTTACTTTCCCTTTACTGCTGCTGTCATAACAATAAATCAAACATTATCTCAGTCAAAATTAATTAACTTCAAATGCTGTTTAATGATGGTCATGAGGAGGTTGTGTTTATGGTAACAATAAATTTATCATCACAAGCTGTCTCATACAACGATGACCTCGACACTAAAGACCTACGAGATACAGTATATTGTACACTACACTATTACATTTTTTCCTCATTATACTGTACGTAATGTGGAAGGCTTTTGTATGGAAGATTTCCTTGTTTTATATATTAACAGCTACAGTACTTCATCATTGTTTCTTTAGTGAGTTCAAACCTAAAGTCTCACATTAAACTACAATGCACTGATAAAACTTTATCTTTTGTGGTGTAAAAAATAATTGGGCTGGCAACCTGACAAAACAAAGTTGTGTAGTCAGGGATCAGTATGGTACATACACCATCCATCTGTGATCAGGATGGTACATACACCATACATTCTGGGATTAGGATGACACTTACAAGCAAGCAATCATGGAGTGGGATGGCATATAGATTTGCCAATCAGAAACTGGGATGGTACATAGACCAGCCAATCAGGAATAATGTCATGAATCCCATCCTGTCAACAACCTAACTGACACTGCAGACTTGCTCCTGTGATACAACTTCTTATGTGTAGTATTAACAGTACCAACAGCAGTGCACCAACACACACACACACACCACAACCCAACTTAAAAGTCAAATATCTGTATAATCTCTTCTTGAAAAAAATCACTCCAGATTTATATTAAGTAACAAATTTAGCTGCCTTACCATACCACTTAATGTACTATACAATCTCACATTACTCACACACAAGTTATCATTCTTCAACTATCTATGACATTGTGTCGGCCCAAACACACAACTGGAACACATCACAAACTCATATTAACAAATGGTAATCTTTAACTCACACAAGCCGATAAAGACCACAATGTATCATCCTGATAGATTTGCAAATTTTCTGGTAGATTTCTCTCTCTTTTTCTTTTTTTTCAAAGCCATACATTGCGAGGGTCAGGAGATATCTTCACTTGGTTATGGTATAGAGTGGAGCTGACAGGCAAACACACTATGCTCACATATAGTAACTGGTGAAGAAGTTAAAAGTGGGCAGACCCATCAACAGGTCAACCAATTATATTACTGGTAAAATAGATTGCACACCTGAACAAAATATTGAATGGAGACAGTTTTATTGACTGACATGAGTCATCTTACATTTACTTTTATAACTTTTGTTGTTGCAATGAACATTCGACTTAAATGAAGGAATTATACTGAACACACACACACATACAAACACACACGCATGCACACACTGATTACCATATACCCTCCACTGCATATACTGTACGCATCATCTTCAATTCTCTGTCTTAGTTACAGTTATCAACAATGAAAAATTCTTTAATATTATACTACAGTTTTCACTACAAAGAGGATAACTACAGTACAATACAGTACAGTACAGTACAGTAGTTTTTCATGTAGTTCCTCAATAATTACAATAACATGATTTATGATTTAAACAAGATATCAGTAGATTCTACTCAACTATAAAGTAATTGGTAAGATACTTATTAATTCTGAAAATTTGTTAAATGTAAAATAATTACAGACAAATAAAATTCCTTCAGAGACTCTGCACTTGATTGTGTTGTTGACACAATATACTGTACGGAAATCATCCTGAGCCTCAGGTCTACCAACACTGGCTGGAGAGTTAAAAAAAAAACCTCAATGACACTAATTTCAATTTTACTCCATAAAACAGTGTGTGGGGGAGGATGATCCATGAGTTCAGCAGCAGTGGCTACAAGAAACAATCATACACCTTTTACATTCATTCATTTAATAGAAATATTTGCAACACTAGTGAGAGATTGTTTCTCTTATCAACTGTCTCTATTCTTAACAGGGTTGGTTGAACTAGAGCAAATCATTCACTGAGACTAACAATGAATGAGGTACTGTAAGTCGACCATACAGTACAGTTTGTGATGATGATGGTTACATTTAACAAAATTTTTACCTCTAAACAACAACTACCTGTATTTGATTAATGGATTATTGTTCTTTATTATTGAACATATACTGTGGAGTTTCAGTAATATAGACAGGGTACAGTACTGTATCTACCTGTAGTCTAAACATCACACCAACACACAATAAGACCATGATGAGAGATGTTATGTAGTGTGTTGCTGGAGAGACACAATGCACTGCACGGCTCTTACACCTCAAGTCGCCACCAATAGCTGTGTTGAGCTTCTGTGATAAAACACTCAAGAGACAAATAAAACCAAGTAACTGTAATGGTGTCCGGTGCAAGATTCTTCAAGCTAATGGTTTCCTGTGCAGTTAAAAATCCAGTTAATGGTTTCATGTGCAAGTAAAATCATTAATGAGAATTACTGTACTTCTTATCACTGACTTCTTAATATGCTTTGTGTTGGCACATTAGTTATTTTGATTTACTGACTAGCCAATCCATCAGGACTAACACACCTTTGGAAGCTTTCTCCAAAACTGACCACAATATTGATTCTTACTAAACATTAATAAGTTCCAAATAAAATCTATAAAAAGTCATGTCCGACCAAAACAACAAATTGGTGTTTGCTGTATTTTTTTTTTAATAAAGCATTATGGTATTTCCTTTGATGTCCCGAAGTAAGTCAATGTACAGTCAACTACTAAAGTCTATTCACCTCTCCCCCTGAGCCACCAACCCTGAGATTGAGACTCTTGAATCCGAAGCAGTAGACCGATACATTATCTGTCCATAAATGCCTCGGATTCATGAGTCTGAATCTCTGGGTTGGTGGTTCAGGGGGAGAGGTGAACAGACTTTAGTACTGCAGTTTAGAGTGCTGAAGTTTTATATGTCTCTATACTGTGAACAAATTATTAAAAATGTCTTGAATAATTAGTTGGATATGATACCTGAAGGCTTAGTTTACCTCCCGCAGTTTTAGACCAACAGTGTATCATTTAGACCAATAAGTGTATCATTTAGACCAACAGTGTATCATTTAGACCAACAGTGTATCATTTAGACCAACAGTGTATCATTTAGACCAACAGTGTATCATTTAGACCAACAGTGTATCATTTAGACCAACAGTGTATCATTTAGACCAACAGTGTATCATTTAGACCAATAAGTGTATCATTTAGACCAACAGTGTGTCATTTAGACCAATAGTGCATCATTTAGACCAACAGTGTATCATTTAGACCAACAGTGTATCATTTAGACCAACAGTGTATCATTTAGACCAATAAGTGTATCATTTAGACCAACAGTGTATCATTTAGACCAATAAGTGTATCATTTAGACCAATAGTGTATCATTTTTGACCAAGAGTGTATCATTTAGACCAACAGCAGTATCATTTAGACCAATAAGTGTATCATGTAGACCAACAGTGTATCATTTAGACCAACAGTGTATCATTTAGACCAACAGTGTATCATTTAGACCAACAGTGTATCATTTAGACCAATAAGTGTATCATTTAGACCAACAGTGTATCATTTAGACCAATAAGTGTATCATTTAGACCAATAAGTGTATCATTTAGACCAAGAGTGTATCATTTAGACCAAGAGTGTATCATTTAGACCAACAGTGTATCATTTAGACCAACAGTGTATCATTTAGACCAATAAGTGTATCATTTAGACCAATAAGTGTATCATTTAGACCAATAAGTGTATCATTTAGACCAATAGTGCATCATTTAGACCAACAGTGTATCATTTAGACCAATAAGTGTATCATTTAGACCAATAGTGCATCATTTAGACCAATAAGTGTATCATTTAGACCAAGAGTGTATCATTTAGACCAACAGTGTATCATTTAGACCAACAGTGTATCATTTAGACCAATAGTGTATCATTTAGACCAATAAGTGTATCATTTCGACCAACAGTGTATCATTTAGACCAACAGTGTATCATTTAGACCAATAGTGTATCATTTAGACCAACAGTGTATCATTAAGACCAACAGTGTATCATTTAGACCAACAGTGTATCATTTAGACCAACAGTGTACTATCATATACTGCAGAGTCTAAAACACCAACTACATATAAAACAAGAATTACAAAGTACTGTACCATAAACATGTTGTGACTCATAATTGCTGACACAAATTCTCGTAAAAGCCAACAACAACAACACACAACTCTCCTCTGAGGATAAATTCATTCTTGAGTTACAAAATACTCCAGTTTAAGATATTGGGAATTGAAATTCTACTGCAGGAAGTAATGATGAATTCTTATGTTATTGCTGGTAACTGGTGACTTCACAACATCCACTACAATGTGCCTTTCAAATATTAACCCCGAGTCTCTCACAGCCTAAACCTCACACGACAATATTATGTTTTACCAATCAATCAATCGCTATAAATTATTACATATACGACAACCATAAAATACTGAGGAGATGTTTTGAAGAAGAGATTACAAATTTGAATACTGAATGCTTAAAAAATTTAATTTGCTTTTTGTTAATTAATTAATTCTTGTAAGTCATTGTAGAGTAAGCCACAGGGAATAATCAGGTGTGGAACTTGCCTCAATATATTATAAGTCATGCATGAAGATCAACTTTGGTCTCATAGGTTATTTCAAAGAGGAAAATTTCACACAATTTTCCTCCATATAAACTTGGTTCCTGGACAGTTAATTATTGAATCTGTTTCCAAAGCAAGAAGTAACCTCAAACATCTCACCTCATACAATGCAGAGCAAAGTAAGTAAACCTAATCATAGATATGGCATCAAATACATGGCATCCTGATAACAATAATAATAATAATAATTTGCTGAAGCATCACTACTTGGTGGTGTCTGAGATCATGTTATAAAAGTTTACCTTGATAAATATAAATATATTATGACTGGAATGAAGCACTTGATGAGTTTAAAAAGAGAACCAACATTATCTGGTGCACTTCACTGTCACAAAGATAAAAATGAAATAAAACCGGACATTATTATTGTTTTTTTTTCTGGAATGTTGCACGGGGAACTTACTGTACTTATACATATGGCCGTTGTACTGTAGTATAAAACTTTGGGAAGTAAAGGTGTGTATAACTCTACAGCCTTAATTACTGTGACAATATTATATACCTTTTTCTCTATTGTCCAAGACACTTTTATTACTCTCTCTCTCTCTCTCTCTCTCTCTCCAGACCAAGTGTAAAGTGTTGTCACACAAGTCCTGTAGAGGCTGACACCCTTATTATTAGAGGCTGACACCCTTACTAGTAGAGGCTGACACCCTCACTAGTAGAGGCTGACACCCTCACTAGTAGAGGCTGACACCCTCACTAGTAGAGGCTGACACCCTCACTAGTAGAGGCTGACACCCTTACTAGTAGAGGCTGACACCCTTACTAGAAGAGGCTGACACCCTTACTAGAAGAAGCTGACACCCTTACTAGAAGAGGCTAACACCCTCGCTAGTAGAGGCTGACAACCTTACTAGTAGAGGCTAACACCCTCGCTAGTAGAGGCTGACACCCTTACTAGTAGAGGCTGACACCCTTACTAGTAGAGGCTGACACCCTCACTAGTAGAGGCTGACACCCTTACTACAACTCCTGTAGAGGCTGACACCCTCACTACAAGTCCTGTAGAGGCTGACACCCTCACTACAAGTCCTGTAAAGGCTGACACACCTCACTACAAGTTCTAGAGGCTGACACCCTCACTACAAGTCCGGTGAGGCTGACACCCTCACTACAAGTCCTGTAGAAGCTGACACACTCACTACAAGTTCTGTAGAGGCTGACACCTCACTACAAGTCCTGTAGAGGCTGACACCTCACTACAAGTCCTGTAGACACCCTCACCAAGTCCGTAGAGGCTGACACCTCACTAAGTCCTGTAGAGGCTGACACCCTCACTACAAGTCCTGTAGAGGCTGACACCTCACTACAAGTCCTGTAGAGGCTGACACCCTCACTACAAGTCCTGTAGAGGCTGACACCCTCACTACAAGTCCTGTAGAGGCTGACACCCTCACTACAAGTCCTGTAGAGGCTGACACCCTCACTACAAGTCCTGTAGAGGCTGACACCCTCACTACAAGTCCTGTAGAGGCTGACACCCTCACTACAAGTCCGGTAGAGGCTGACACCCTCACTACAAGTCCTGTAGAGGCTGACACCCTCACTACAAGTCCGGTAGAGGCTGACACCCTCACTACAAGTCCTGTAGAGGCTGACAGACACTCCACTATGGTAAATAAGTCACAGGTACACACAGGTCCCAGAGTCTCGCTACATAAATTCTTTCCACTAAACACAGCTCAGTGATTTGGCTCAACAGCGATGTTGTATGAAGAGATTTTACCCTCCATTACTTGATGTGTTCTTATGGGTGATAAATTGGTTATGAGAAGAAGAAGAAGAATCATTTTTAAAAGTTAATTACAGTAGTTGTTTGATGGTTAAGATGACCAGGAGATGTACTGTACACAGAGTAAGGGTAGGAGGAGGTACAGTACAAGAGGTGGACAGTAAAGAAAACTTCAGAAAATAGTGAAGGATGGTTGAGAGCAATGAAGGAGTGACTATGATAGAGAAGCCCCACCACCCATTAAACAAAGGCACCGGCAACAAGAAGAAAGAAGGGAGAACAAGAAGAAAAAGAAGAAGAAATTTATCATGACACTGAGACTCTGAGACCAGGTCGCCTCACACGTGACTGTAAAGCTCTTCCTTCATCCTTCAGTGGATCAGAATCGAGAAGAAACTTTTTTTTTCAGATAACTTGTATTCCAGTAAAGGAATACAGTACAGTATATACTTGGGAAGACATTTTCTTTATAGCTGATTATCAAACTGTAACTCATGACTACATAATCACAGACAGAGAATGTATGTACTACAGTAATGCCCTACAGCAGTAATTATGTTCCTGCCAAAAATAGTAATGTTGATCTATTAAATGGATGTATAAAAGCGCTAATGTCCTTCAGTTTAAAACAAATGAATCAATTAACCTTAAGCCCACACATGACAACAAGTGTCAACCCAAAATAATGTGATAAGACACTATAATGTGACCTGCCGCAGTGAGGGCCTCACTGTCTCCTCTGGGTCCAGCTAACACAACTTGGTGCCTAAAACATAAATAAAAATATCACTTCTGATGGTTTTCTTGTCTAAAGATGAAAAAAATGAGTGAATGCATCTAAAAAAACACACAGAGTATATATAAAAAAAACCCTTCCTTGTGCATGTGAGACATCTCTCAAACTGTGAGACATCTCTCAAACTGTGAGACATCTCTCAAACTGTGAGACATCTCTCAAATTATGAGACATCTCTCAAACTGTGAGACATCTCTCAAATTATGAGACATCTCTCAAACTGTGAGACATCTCTCCAAAGGAGACATCTTATAAATTTTGGTACATCTCGCACTCTGAGAGATATCATTCCAACTAACACAAGTACAATAAATACAATATGGCACATACTGTACATCTAAAGGCAATTTCATAAAAAAATTGTCACTGAAACCTGTTAAAAAATGATAAAGTTCTCATTAATATACAGTGATATCTCCATTAGCCGGAACAATTGGAGCAGAGCACTTCTGGGAATGAGAGATTTCTGGGTAACCAGACGACTTTCTCAAAGCCGGAAAAAATCCCTCATCCCCGGAACTTTCCAGGTAACGGAAAAATGTTCTCCGTTTTTTACTTCCAAGTTTAGAAATTGCCCATTACATCATCCCTTGAACCCAGAAAAATATCCCCCAACCCTGGAATTTTCCGGGAAATGTGCCCCCCGGAAAATCATTCCCAACGCCGGAATTTTCCGGAAAATTATGGCTTTGGGAACGATTTTACGAGAAAATTTCAATTCCGGTTATCGGAGAGTTCCGGGTTTGAGGGATTCCGGCTAAAGGAGATATTACTTTATTACCCAAGTGACATTTTTGTTCATCAAGAAATAGTATAATTAAAAAAAATTAAAAATTCTTGAATCAACAATGGACACCTAACTACAGTACAGTACAGTACTGTGGAGTGATAACAGTGACTACCAGTATATTGCACACAAGGTTTCATCTTCAACTTTACCTACAAGGAGCTGCAGTGTTTCAGTAAGAGTACAATCTCGTGTTTCACAGTAAGGTCTTAAAGTTTAATTTAGAGTAAAAAATGAATTTCCGGGTTGAACAAAAGAGCGAACAAATGGTTTAAACGGTGATCTGGAAAAGTGAACCTTATTGTGAGCGATACAAGGAACTGGTGTAGACTGACTACCGTACCAATATTAATAAATCTTACTTAACGACAAGGCCTCCGGCCAACACTTGACGACACTATCTTCCACAACCATATTTATCTGTGCCTCCTTTCACTATCCTCCTTACAATTACAGTACTCACGTCTGCCACCTCTCTTATACTCCATCAAAGAGGTGAAAAGTTACACAAAGGCTGCCCAAGGATCACAGAAGTTGTGACTTGATAGGAATTATATCAATCCTCACCAAGTAGAAATAACTAGATGGCACTACTATGTACACTGCTCTCATCAAACCACATAAAACTGAAAGCTTGAGCACAGTGATTATAACATATACTCCATATTGTTGCTCACTCCAACAATTGGCTCTCAATTTCCACTATCTTCAGGTCTCAGAATGAAGCAGTCAAGATATGACAAACTGTTTCACTGATAGCAAAAGAAAGAGGACAGCAGAGAAATTCAATAGATTCCCCTATTTTTCAAGATGATAACTTTCCTAAGATTGCTAAATCAACCTTTATGAAAACTTGAGAAACTAGTGAATTACCCTCTTGTGTGCCTGGAATGTAAACTGGGCTTATGCCCCCCTGAGAGCATGTTGGCTCGTGTGGAGTGCTGCTACAACCTCTCGTCACTGCCGTCATCAAAAGCTGTCCATGAGTTGGCCTGTGAGAGGAGAGCTTGCTGCTCTTGGTTCCTGATGGCCTGCCTCAGTGCAGTCAGGGGCTTTGTTGTGTCCTGACTCTGGCCTTCCACTGGCATGTCGAGCAGTGTGTGTCGACCCGGCACTCCCTCCTGACTGATGACGTGAGAGGCAGGAGAGAATCTCACCCGTCCTCCCCCGGTCGAGTTGCCCCCGGATCCACCGGAGAGTGTGGAGTACATGTCCGGGGCGCTGACGTAGCTGCTGTCCTCGCTCGTCATGCTATCTGGCGGAGTGGGATTAGTGGGAGTGCCCCCTCCTGAACCCCCAGACCCACTACGTTCACTGCGAGGTTTAGGAGATGACCGCCCATAGCTGATGTTATACTTCCTGAAGGAAGAGCGATGATGACGTGGAAGGTCCAGAGATCCCGGACGGTCAATACGGTCCAGCTCGTGTGAATTCTGACGCGATACTCTCGGAGGCGGGGCCGGTCCTCCGTGCACTTCAAAATGACCACTACGGTGAGTTGGAGTGGAGTACGAGCTGTCGCCTTCATCTTCTAATTTGAATGAAGGGTTTACATTTGAGGATGAAGTAGAGGCATTGGATACAGACGATGGAGTGCGTCGATGTTGAAAATTTACTCTAGACGGAGTGCGAGGATTTGTCGACGTCGAGGAGGAGGAAACGGACGTAGACGGGTTGTCATAGGCGTGGTATCCGCCGTCACTGCTCGCCGCCGCTGCCGCCGCTGCATGTCGCATCACATACTGCGGATAAATCCGCTGCTCATAGTGAACGCTGGCGAGGTACTCTGCGGGTGCTCCGTGATACGCCCGGTCACTGTAGTAATAACCGACGGAGTCAGAGCGGTAATCGGGAGCGTACGGCTGCTGGTAAGTCTCCCCACGGTACAGCTCTGCATCGGTCTTTGGGGAGGGAGGAGGCTGGTGGGCAGAAGAGGATGCTTTAGAGGAGTGTTCACTACGTTCGCCCCACACCATCATCTGGTCACTTCTATAGTCCGGGCGCAGGTAGTCGGCTGGACCCGGGATGTACACGGCTCGCTGGCCGCTGTAGCTGGCCACCTGCTGCTGTTAACAAATTCCTACAGTTATTATTTTAATTCTTAATTTTCCACATTTAAAAAAAAATGTTAGTAGCTACAGTACTTGAGGAACCAAGAGACACAGTGAAACTTATACTAAACAATAAAGGTCACAACAAAAAACAAAGACAAACAACTGCCTGAATATCTAGTAAACTGATGAATGATCAAATGATAATTAAAAATAAAACAGCATTTTCCACAATTTGGTCAAATAGAATTATAACATTACCTCACTGTCATTACTCGCCGACGACGACTTTCTGCGCGGCGTCTGTTGAGTCGGGGGAAGAGCCACAGGGCCGCTGGCAAAGTGCTGGGGAGAATCCGTGAAGCGTATGGGTTTGGGTTCGAGGACCAGCGCGGGCCGTGAGTGTCGCGATGGACCGTGATAGGTGTTGTGGGCGTAACCCGACGGACTGGAGAACTCGTATTCACTCACACCCATCCACCTCTGGTACTCCCCGTCCTCATCCTCAGCTCTGTGGGGATTATCAACACTTACCTCAATCATCTGATGCAAACAAGAGAATAACTGCCTCAGTGTTGTAATGTGTTGCCTGTAACAGTGTTGTAATGTGTTGCCTGTAACAGTGTTGTAATGTGTTGCCTGTAACAGTGTTGTAATGTGTGGCCTGTAACTGTGTTGCCTGTAACAGTGTGTAATGTGTTGCCTGTAACAGTGTTGTAATGTGTTGTAAGTTTAACCTTACCTCACCTCACCTCACTTCACTTCACCTCACCTAACCAGAGCATAATCGTAGACTCACTTAATCCAACGACCACTACAGTACAGTCGGCCCTTCACATACACGGGTTTAGCATTCAAGGATTCGCAAATACGCGGATTGCCCCGCCGAAGCAATATTCTGTACATTGAAGTAATTGAAGTACATTCAAATCGCGCGCGGCACCGAACACTGCACACCGCCCGCTCCCGCTACCTCACACACACACGCATAGCGCGTCGTCAGGCTCGCTGTAACCACGCTTGTGTTGACATCAGCATTGTAGTTGCAAAAATATTACATTTCCGTGAATGTATTATATCAAGCACAGTATGAATAGAATATCACTAATATAACAGTATTTTCACCGAAAACTATTAAAAAAACGAGTAACACATCTTGAACATCGGAAGGTTAGGTAAAGTCTTTTGTTTTCATGTAGTTTATCCTAATTTACATTGAAATACATTACGTTTCAGCGAAACTACTACCTATTTCTGAGAATATGGAAATGTAATATTTTTGCTGAAATGACGTACGTATTACAGTGGAAAGTGACGAAAGCAATGACTTCGCTTTCTTTCGTTCAAAAGATGTTACCGTAATCGCTTTTCGAATGGTTTTCAGTTAAAAAACTGTTGTATTACAATAATATTCTATTCTAATTCACTTGTGATGCAACAGTTTTTTAACTGAAAACCATTCGAAAAGCGATTACGGTAACATCTTTTGAACGAAAGAAAGCAAAAGTCATTGTTTTCGTCATGATTTTATCCCACTTTCCACTGTAATACGTACGTCATTTCAGCAAAAATTTTACATTTCCATATTTATTTCTGAGAATATATTCATTCAGTCACAGTTTAGGTAAAATATACTTGTGATGTAATATTTTAATGAAAATACCCGGTATTTAGAAATACGGTATCGTAGTTTTCTTTTGTTTCAAATTTAATTAACAAAGATTGATGTTTCAAATGTAATGAAAAAAAATTTATGTATCTATAAATAAACTTTAAAAAATGAATACTTTATGTTTTACATCATCCTGTGCATACCATACCATGGATTTGGCTACTTTGGGCTTGCTATGATGACGCAAGAGATCTGCCCTGGCAACTGTACCGACACTCACAGCCGGTGGTGCGTCATTTCCATTGTTTACTGGTAGTTACTGGTAAATATTTTTCAACCTAACGAAACTATTACCCGTTTAGAGGTCGACCCCCAATTTTTTGCCAAATAATTTGGTCTTAAAAACTCGAACTACACACAGATATATACGGTAAATAAGGACATGGGGGGCCAGGTTTTTTTTAGGGGGGGCAGCAATAGTACACGGATTTGTAACATTCACGGGTATCTCTGTTACCTAACCCCCGCGTATGTTAAGGGCCAACTGTACTGTACATATCTACACCTGTGTCTCCTATAACCATCTTGTACTGCACTGTACAGTGTTTCAAGAAGCAGCTTCAAGTTCCACCTGACTAACGTAAAGATACACAGCAGATGACAACTCACTTGACAGGAAGAAGTCTGGGATGAATGGCTGTCACATTTGATAGCCGGACATCATATCCTGCGGCCACACTCGCCAGAATGGCGGCAATATTATACACGAGAAGTTCCAGCGGAGAGAATTTGGGTTGTAAGCCCTTGGTCTCCGGAGTGGTGCCATTGTACAGCGTCGGCACCGGCAACGGTCGTAGAGGCACCGGCTTGGCACTCCAGCCTCCGTCCTCACCGCTGCAGTCTGTCAAGAAATCATCTATAAATCTCAAAATATGTTAAAGTGATATACATGTTAAAATATACAATAGAAGGAAGGAGGAGATAATATCCACATGCAGCCAGGGAGAAATATTCTATAGGTCCACTTAAGGTACAGTAGCTAATGACCTGTTAAGTACAGTAGCAGTCTTCACCAACAATAATTATGTACTGTATAATATATTCCTGGTCTTAAATCAACCCTTTGAGGTTCATTTGCATTTTAATGTAAGGACTCATATTTTATTCACTATTGGTAGTAACAAGATTAGCTTTTATTCTTAACCTAACACAGGGGACGTCTGCACTACTCTGACCTTACTACCCAAAGAAGGTTATTTTCTCCACAAAACCAGTCTCCACTTCTACTAATACTAAGATACTGATGTTAATGCCCACCTGTACTGCACTGTATCACCTCCCAGCAAGTCAGGTAAGGATCCTCCAGTACTGTACCACTAATCTTAATAAACACACCTGGTTACTCTACTGTATTTGCACCACTGTTAAATTTCAGAAATAAACCATCCCACATCAGTCTGGGTTAATCAGTAAGCCAGCCACACTATTATAAAATGCAATTTATACTAACAAGTTTTAAATTGATATTGTACAGTACTGGGCTACTTTAGTAGGCACTTTAGGAAATGAGAGATTTCCAGGTAATGAGACGACTCTTTCAAAGATGGAAAAATCCCTCATCCCCAGAATTTCCGGAATTTTCTGGGTAATGGAAAAATTTTCTCAGAAGTTCCAGAAATTGCATACAGTAAGTCCTCGCTTAACGTCGGGGTTACTTTCCTGAAAATGCAGTGTTATACGAAACAACGTTAAGCGGATCAATTTTCCCCATAAGAAAGATAAAATATGGGAGTTATGTTCCTGAGCTTCCCTTTGCCCCATGAAATACATTACATATACATAAATTCAAAGCTCCTTGTGTGATGCCTGGTGAGGTGCTTGTATGCATTACTATAGTCACATTCATTGACATTGTATAAGAGAAACTCAAAACACCTCTACATGACAAATAAATAAATACCACTCGGTAACCTTGGTTGGCCGGCGCCAGCTGTCACAGCACATCATCTCCCTCTTCGCACTTCCGACAAGATTGAAGGTGGTTTTAGGCTTAATGTTTTGATCTTATAAAATGTCAGACTAAAAGTAGAATATAAATTGCATTGCTGGAATCCTTGTAAGACAGCGAATAATGTGAATATACAGTGGTCTCTCGGTTAACGAATGGTTCGATTTACAAAATTTCGGTAAACAAAATCCTTACAACAAACACGTTTTGTTGTGCGCATCAGCTGATCGGCTAGTTCGCCAATACAGTAATCAGTTCTATGTTTACATTAGTTTCCAGTGAAGTAAATATCAAGAAAGTTGGTCTCTTGAATATTTCTGCATTTTTTATATTAAAATTATTGATCAATCTGAAATTTAGTTAACATATTGATAATATAGACAGTGCAGAAATTATTATGAAACATGAAGAAGGCATTTGAACCAATGCATTATTATTTTCAATTGTGTATTTTTTATTATAAATTTTATTTATCATGAATTACTGTACCCTGTATTATTATTATTATTATTATATTTTCGTCCCTCAGGCCCCGATGTGGGTCAGTGACCTGTGCCCGGATGGGCTAATCCCCGTAAAAAAATAATAATAATAATAAATTAATAAAAAAAATAAATAAATAAAATAAATAAATAATTACTAAAATTTTTATGTCTAGTGCAAACTATAGCATGTTTATATTCCAATTAATCACTAACTTACAAGGATTCCAGCAATGTAAGTTACATTCTGCTAAGTCAATTCCCCTAACCTGTACCATTTACATGCATTCTTATGGGAAAACAGTGATGACAAAAACAACATTATATTGAGTCTTGGGACGTTAAATGAATTATTGGTATCTAAAGAGTAGCGACGTAATACCAAAACAACGTTAAGAGGGTCGACGTTATACGAGGATTTACTGTATTACATCATCTCTCAAACCGAGGAAAAATATCCCCTCCTCCCCTTAATTTTCCGGGTACTGGAAAATTTTTTTCTGAATTTCTGGAAAATCTGCCCCTTGGAAAATTATTCCCACAGTAGAAATTTTGAGGAAAATTCTTTCTTTGGTAACGATTTTCCTAGAAAACTTCAATTCCGGATATTGGAGAGTTCCGGTTTTGAGGGATTCAAGCTAACAGAGACATTACTTTATCATGGCTCCTTGACTGGACTGCTTAATATAACTATCACAGTGTTAATATAACTATCACAGTGTTAATATAACTACCACAGTGTTAATATAACTATCAGAGAGGTTACTTGATATGTAAGTTAAAACTCCACTGATGGAACCTTCTGCGTCAAGAAAATTTTCAAAAGTGGGGAAGAATTTTCTCAATGACAAAAAAATCCTACAAATATTATCATCTAAATATCAAGACTTTCTAAATCATAAATACAATATCTTAGAAATAATATTTAAAGCTTTTACTGAAAGAGAGGAGACACACAGGTACAGTAACTCAGCCCCTGAAACAACATTATAAATCTAAAACATCATGACCTAAGAACAATACACTATCTAGATCTAAGATTATAATCACTTAAGGCACAACAATGATCTACTGCACAGGGTGGGGGGGGGGTCATTAACTAAGAGACACACACAACTAACACACGATGGACACGACTAGGTTCATTACAGCATCACAGACTCTTGTTACCACCATCTCTTACATACTGTACTGTACTGTACTACTGAGGTCAAATACTAAAGGCTTCTCTATAAATAATCAGCACATGTAAAAGGTCTACAGTATTTGGTCTCAACAAACACAGCCCACACACCATTAAACAGGGGAAATATTTATGTCATTTCTGATAAAACAATTACGAGAACACGTTAAAACTGCTTACTACTGTACTGTATTGTACTGTACTGTACTGTACTGTACTGTACTGTACTGTACTGTACTGTACTGTACTGTACTGTACAAGCATAAAAATAAAAATCATTGACTTAATCTCTGAAAAACAACAACACTCAGAGATGAGTCGGAGCAACACACAACCAAGGTGTGACACAAACAGTCAGTCTACAGGAGCTATAACACTCACTAATATTTATCACACACATATAAGTACAGTACTACTAGAGAGGACTTGTCTCTCTAACCATTGTTGTCCAAGTAAGCTCTCCACTCATCAATGGTGCACTCTGAAACAATATAATATACTGGGTCATGTACTGAACTGTATTGTACTGTAGTGCTGTAGGTCAACACTGAACTGTATTGTACTGTACTGTATTGTACTGCTGTAGGTCAACACTGTGTACTGTACTGTAGTGCTGTAGGTCAACACTGTGTACTGTACTGTACTGCTGTAGGTCAACACTGAGTACTGTACTGTACTGTAGTGCTGTAGGTCAACACTGTGTACTGTACTGCTGTAGGTCAACACTGTGTACTGTACTGCTGTAGGTCAACACTGTGTACTGTAGTGCTGTAGGTCAACACTGAGTACTGTACTGTATTGCTGTAGGTCAACACTGTGTACTGTACTGCTGTAGGTCAACACTGAGTACTGTACTGTACTGTAGTGCTGTAGGTCAACACTGTGTACTGTACTGCTGTAGGTCAACACTGTCTACTGTAGTGCTGTAGGTCAACACTGAGTACTGTACTGCTGTAGGTCAACACTGAGTACTGTACTGTACTGTACTGTACTGCTGTAGGTCAACATTGAGTACTGCACTGTACTGTAGTGCTGTAGGTCAACACTGTCTACTGTAGTGCTGTAGGTCAACACTGTGTACTGTACTGCTGTAGGTCAACGTCTACTGTAGTGCTGTAGGTCAACACTGAGTACTGTACTGTACTGTAGTGCTGTAGGTCAACACTGTGTACTGTACTGCTGTAGGTCAACACAGAGATATTGAACACTGAGTAATATACATGTGTTATGGCTGGGTTAAAAACTTTGTATAAAACATGTAGATTAAGACACCAACTCAGTAGAGAATTACTGTACCTGTACTTTATACCCAAATGACTAGATTAAGTTAATTCTAGAAATAACTGTGTCTACATCTAGATTAGAGCACCAACACCACAATAGCGACATAACTTGGAAATTACTATACCTTTACTGTCCACCTAACGATGTCGTTGTACTAATGTTTCTGAATATCTGTACCTGAAGAAAAAAATGAAGCCTTTTTCCTAACATGTTAATCTACTGTACATCACTAGACAACATTAGTATATCTTCATAATTACCAAAGATAATAAAAAAAAATCTTTTAGGAATCTTACAAGAGAACAGAACCCATTTAAGTTATCTTCAAGGCATCACCACCAACCAGACCTAGACATTACTCACCCAAGACTACTGTTACAATGTCTGGTGATACTGGGGCTAAATCTATGGTAAAGACTCTCAAAAGTGACCCCTTAAACTTCTTCTCCATTCACCATTTCAGTTTTCATGGATGGATAAATGTTTTTCTTCTCTGTGTGTGTCACTATTTAGCTGTAATCTTCATATGTATTCCATTATCGCTCTCTTTAACTTATTCCTTTATGCGTCGCACTATTCTCTCTGGTTGTGGGTTTAGTGTTGCTACCACATACATGTGCCGCCTCCAAGAGTGTCCACGTGTTGTTGTTCAATTTGTTATTTTTCCGGCTAAATCAACTATTTCTATTTCCAATTCTCACCAGTTCTTCATCTTTATTTTGTTACCTATTTGTCTTAAATTATTCCATCTTTAAAGTATCCTAAGTTAGAGAGTGGAGTGTCACAGAGGTAGGCACAGAAACACATACAATAACCATCTTACTCCAATGACTGACTCCCCCTATAGAGCTGCAGTTACCACTTACAGGTTTTTGGTTATGTCCAGTTCGGTTTCCAACAGTTTATGATTAATACTACGGTACATTCTCAGAGTCGCTTAAAGGAACAGTTGTCCACAGGTACAGTGGTCCACCCCTCGATGGCCTTTCCGTACATGTGACAACTTGGGAATCACAGTGGAACCGTCTTTATCTTACTGATATTACATCTGTCATATCACTTGGTATAAATCTCGGGTACATATAATACCCAAAACATTATATTGTTGGTCAGATGATCGGAGAGGCGACCGAGGGGCGGCACACTATACCTGCGGACAACTGTACGCTCTCAGGGTTCCCTTAACCTCGGAAGCCATTAAGTGTATAGATAAACAGGACAAGTGTAATATACTGTACCTGGCATGTAGTAATATCCATTGCCAGCTTGAAAGGTAGAGGGGGAATGCCATTAAGCTCCTTTATTTCCTTCATCCATTATCTCTTCTAAAACTTAACTATGTACAGTATAGTATGTTCTCCAACAGTCCACAAAATATCTCATGGTAACAATTTATCGCAGTGACTCAGACAAGTTAAGTTTGCTTTTTTTTTCCTTCAGAGTTTTATTTTATTTATCCAGTGAATCTGATAACATTAAGTTTTTTGTTTTCTTCTGTGTCGTTTCGACGATTACGATCTGAGTCGTCACTGAACCGTCACAGTCATATGACATGACAATCACTGGAATGCTTATGGCCAGCATCTGCTTGTTGGTTACCCATCCTAAACTTACCAATCTCTGGACCATAGGCTGTTATCTGGTTGAGCCCCGTCATGGTGGCTGTGTACGGAAGGGGCCGGAGAGTTTTCTCTAGATTGGGCGCAGACTTACTCCATCGTTTTTGGTTGTCGTGGTGCTGGGGGATGATGTGGCCTCGCTCCTTCTGGTGCGCTGTGCTGGGGCCCCACGTCTTGCCCTTCACGCCATCAGCTGGTACTGCAAGTGGAATATAAATTAATTCATCGGAGCGATCAGACACGAGCGTATGGTGAAACTTTTCGATGAAATCCAGAAATGTCTCAAAACAAAACATTTTTTTTTTATTTCTTGATAAATTTTAATGTTTTAAAATATCACAAATTCTTAGCAAAGACTTTTTTTGTGATTAGTAATTAAGATAAATATTAAATTCTTACTGAAGTATATTGTTTGACTCAAAGTATTACTACATCAAACATACAACACTTTTTACAGATAAAACTTCAAGTGACTTAACACAAACTGTACAGTTCTGTGCTGTACCTCTCAACTCTCAATAACATCATAAAAACTTGCAACAGGTCTAGAAAAAAAATATTGACATAAAATTCCAGGTACAATTGTCTTATGTCAATATAGTGTACGTACTAAACTGTAGGTAAGTACTGTACGGCTAGTGAGAAAAAACACCAGAACTGTGTTGGTCTAAACTAGTAAAATCCTCAGTACAGTAGTAGTTATATATTGTCTACATAAACACTAAATCACAGTTACCGTACACAGCATTCTCTACCTCATGCAGTGCTTCATAATTGTGGACTAACACACGCACTTTTGTAGTACAGTAATAATAATACATTTAATTAACAAAAGATGGAATTAGCAGGATCCCATTCTCAAAAAAAGAAAAAGGATAAATTATTATGTTTGCAAATAATAAATTAACTAAACATAACATAACATAGTCTTAGCACAAGCAATAAAATTTTTATAGATGAACCATTGTCTATTTCTCATCATCATCGTCAACAACAGAAGCAGTAGCAGCAGTGTGTGTGTGTGTGTGTGTGTGTGTGTGTAGTGTGTGTGTGTGTGTGTGTGTGTGTGTGTGTTACCAAAACTTGTCCCTAGAGAGCATTTCATAACCTAACCTATCTATCCAGCTCTCTTCACTTCTGGCATCCCAAACAACCATCAGTATTTGTAAGTGTTGGTTGGTGGTGGCCAATGGGGACAGAGCTCAGTTGACAGGATATATATGCGAGTGCATAAGCATCATCACAAATACTGAAGTGAAGTGAGGTGAAGTGTGTAGGTTGAGTCACTTGAGGGGACCGAGAAGCACGTTAAAGGAGAGAAAAACAACAACAACGCTGCTGTCGGTATTACTGTAGCTGCCGCATAAACAAACTCGGCGCCCAACATCAAGGAAGGGGACCAACCCACGTCAACTCAGGACATTAGTTAACAGTGGCATGTGTATTTAGAGTTGATCTAAATCCCACCACAAAGTGTATGGAACCTGAGGCTTTTGTCTCACACACTCAACACAAATTATATGCCTTTGTGTCTTATACAACTCACCACCCAGAGTCCTAACATGTAACCATAACTTGTCTGAGTACTGTACTTCTATCTGTCTCATCCACCTGTCTATCAATATTACCACAGTCCTCACTAGCAACAGTTCAACAATGTCTCACAAATTACTAAAATATGTTCACTTCTCATCAGATTATATTTAGAAAAACAAACTAAATCAGCTTCTTATAATGACAATAAAACTTTCTCACACACACACACACACTTGTCCTGATGGTTCCAGTGGTTGAGTGATATGGTTTGTGAAACTGATAATTACCGACATAAACAGGAAATTTCTCAAGATAATTCGTCCTTCTTAGACCTGAGCCATGGATGCTTGGTGTACAAACTCTGGTACACATAAATTATTGTACCAAAAACACAACTAAACTCACTAACTCTTACTAACTGTCTCCATAAATTAATTATAAAAGGTGGCTAAAGAACAGCTTTGTATGAACGCTCCTCATATTTGTTTTCTAACTAGTGTACAGAGATATCAATCATCATCACAAACCACTTAACTTAACCTAAGCTAACTCAATCAAAGCAAACCTAATCTAACCTAACTCAACCAAACCTAACTAAACTTATTGATAACCTAACCTTACCAAACGTACCCTAACCTAACCTTACCAAACGTACCCTAACCTAACCTTACCAAACGTACCCTAACCTAACCTTATCAAACGTACCATAACCTAACCTTACCAAACGTACCCTAACCTAACCTTATCAAACGTACCCTAACCTAACCTTATCAAAAGTACTCTAACCTAACCAAACTGCACCAAACATAACATATCCAAATGGGGCGTGAACAGATACAGTGTTCCACATACAGTACAGTAGTTAAGCTGCTGGGTCCAGGGTAATTAAGTCATTTATGAGGTACTGTACTAGCTAGTGTGTACATACATAAAGTACTTCATACAGTCTGTTGCCTCCAAACTTCTCTCTCACATGCAACATTGGGCTATTGAAGTTCTCTGTTTCTATTCTAATGTCTGATAAATTCTCACTCTTATACATTTTCTAGTTATTAATCAAAAGCGGACAATATCCGCGCTGTCGCCGCCGGTACCTACTGTACTAGAGGACAGACTCGGACACTTGTCGTCTATGAAACAATAACAACAAGAAAGCTTCAATGACATGACTATGAAGGAAGATTCTCAACAGCAAAATGCAAAATAGAAATGTTTTTAGTGTTTATGAATAAAAAATATTAATTAATAATAAGACATTAAGACCAGTGTTCCATAGGTTATAAAGTCATACAGTACAGGATATAAATGAATAAAAGACCAAGCATGCAACAACATCTCAGAGCAACAGAAATTGACGACCGATGGAACAGCTGGACCTACACTTACTTTGATACTCTAAAATATTACAAAGTATGCTAGGAGGACATGGCAGGCTTTCTAGTGAGCATACTAAAAGGGGAAAAGAAAACGAGCATTAGAAGTCGTGCAGACGTAATCAAACTCTCCTAAAAAGGGGCAATCAATCAAATGCAGTAAAACTCCCGAGTGAGCACCAAGATGGCGGGGAGGGGAAGGAGGGGGGAACACACGGAGCTCCGGTAATTAACCTCTCATCTCTATATAGTATTAGTGGCTACAGTACTGAGCTTATCATCACTGTGTAACAACAATAATATTTTCCATCCTAGAATAAACTCACTTGTAAATAAAGAAACAAATATGAGGTAAATGTTACACTAAGTACAGAACTGTAGTGAGAACAAACTATACTGTACTAGACATGAGTTTAAAGATAGTACCGTACTGTATATACCTACGCTAACATTAATAATTCAATGTTAACGAAAAGCACTTCTTTACCTAAACCACATCCACGACCTCTCCGTCTCGGGTAAAACAAAATAATTCTTACTATAAACACATTTACCTTTGTTATCTACTGCGAATTAAACGACGAAGCGGAGGTGAAGGAAACAGTAATAAATAATGATAACAAACAAACAGAATGAGGTCATGACAGAGAAGGGAGAAGAGAACATTAGTAAAGGTAAGATGAGGGAAAGAGAGAGGGGTCAGGATCAACATGAACCATGCTAAGCTACCACACAGCACCAGGGAGGAGAAGCTTGTCAAGTATACTGAAACCTCCACCTAACACAGTAACCTCTCCCAGATACAGTAGGTGAAGGTTTCAGAGAATACAACATAGTGTCAAATACTACTACAGTATCTGATAAACATGAGGAGGCCATCACACCGCCACCATCCTGGGTAGCGAAGGTAAACACATTATATTATGTTCTCACTGTTAGTACTTCAGTCATAGTGTACGGTTCTGTTCTGTTCTGTATATGCACGTGTGACTACTTACCAAAAATATCATAGCAGGTATACTGTAATGTACTCCAGTATTAAAGTAACATTTACTATCACAAAATTTTTCATTCACAGATCAGCAGAGCATAGACATCTATTTTTGTTGCTTTGAAGCTAAAGAATGTGTCCAGTGTGTTAAGTAAAAAAAAATCTATGTACTGTACTATATTATAATAGTTATTGTGTGTAGATTATATCTTTTATACTACAGGGTATAATGTACAATATCTCTCTGCTCTCACAGAATCCTTAGGTATATACTCTTGACCAGTCAGTGATGCCATACTGTACACTTGTTCCACACTCAGTCACCAGAGAAATACATTTTTTCACTTATACAAAAGCTTCACCAAGTTACAGCTATGACCTGTATATATTGTATTATTCTCTCTTTATTGTGTACCGCAAGTAAGCCGAGGACAAGAGCAAATACTGTACAGGTATATGTGGAGGGATATTTCTCCTTGTTATATCAGCTCTTTCCCACCACGTGTCTTACATCACTCTCAGTATTGTATCCCCAGTTCATTGAGGTTATATGAGCCCTTGAGAGGATATTATCTGAATACATCTACTGGCTCTGGAAACTCTCTCTCTCTCTCCCTCTCGTACGTAAATATAAACGTTAAGTCAGTAATCGTTTATTCTTTGTCAAGGTTCATCAACTTCTATGCATCATTGAAAATAAAGATGATACATTCGGATAAAGAGGTTTGTCTGATACATTAATACAATGTGCTAAGAGGCAGACAGTTTGGCACAACACGTTGAGGATGATCCCGAACACCACCCGGATAAATATAAACTTTCCCGGGAGAAGAAATCGTTCAGTAAGAGATTATAAAATTATCTCAAGAGTAGAAACATGATGAAGCAGAATACAGTACAACTACAGTAGAGGCTGAAAGATGTAATGCTGCACACAGTCAACACACCAATGATGAAAAATTAGAAATACAGTTAGTACAGTACACAAAAAATGTACAGTATTCCAGAAAAAGGTAACAAGACAGTGTGAGAGAATATACAAAAGTTTATGGTACAGACGAAGAATTGCATAGAAGCAACTACAGTATATATATAAAAAGGTCAAACATTGTAAACCAGGAAACACAATCAAGTACTAAGTGTCTAAGTAAAACAAAAGACTGAGAGTTCACATGACTCAGGAGATGATCCTATTATAAGGTGTCTTTATCAGAGGGTTCAGAGCTCACACAATACTGTCTTCTTGCTCCTGATTATGAGGACAAACTGGTAATTTTTATAGTGTGTCTTTGAATCTAATAAATGGTGCCACACAACGTCGATCACCAATATTTGAACATAAGACATAAATTCATATGTTTCAGAAAGATATACAGAGACAGTCCCCAAGTTACCAACAGGTTACTCTCCTGGACCCTATTCAAAAGTTAATCTGTTCATAAGTTAATCTGTTCATAAGTTAATCTGTTCATAAGTTAATCTGTTCATAAGTTAATCTGTTCATAAGTTAATCTGTACATAAGTTAATCTGTTCATAAGTTAATCTGTACATAAGTCAGAACAGTGTTAATTCCACAGGTTAGGTTGTGTTAAAGCACAACCCTGCCCATACAAAACAACAATAACATCCCATACATAACAAATACTGTAAATAAAGTGATGTTAACAATATAGAATAATGAAATTATTGTAAAAATTGGGATTTCAATTACGGATAACTGGAGAGTATTGTGATAAATATATTGGGACCACGTTTGTAAGTGTGGGTGTTTGTAAGTGTGGGTGTTTGTAAGTGTGGGTGTTTGTAAGTGTAGGTGTTTGTAAGTGTGGGTGTTTGTAAGTGTGGGTGTTTGTAAGTGTGGGTGTTTGTAAGTGTGGGTGTTTGTAAGTGTGGGTGTTTGTAAGTGTGGGTGTTTGTAAAAAATGATTTCAATGTACGGATAACTGGAAGTATTGTGATACCCCCGTTTGTAAGTGTGTAGGTGTTTGTAAGTGTGGGTGTTTGTAAGTGTGGGTGTTTGTAAGTGTGGGTGTTTGTAAGTGTGGGTGTTTGTAAGTGTGGGTGTTTGTAAGTGTGGGTGTTTGTAAGTGTGGGTGTTTGTAAGTGTGGGTGTCTGTAAGTGTGGGTGTTTGTAAGTGTGGGTGTTTGTAAGTGTGGGTGTTTGTAAATCAGGGACTGCCTGTACTTATTTCTCCAACACGTCTGATTTTTCAAATATGTTTCAATTGTTGTGACACTGATTTTTAAGTCACACACACACACACACGCGCACGCGCGCACGCACGCACACACGGACACACACACACACGGACACACACACACACGGACACACAGGACACACACAGTCCCACATCAATAACACATTCACACACACACACTACACACACACACACACACACACACACATTCGTAACCCATTCCCCAAATATGTAACTGTATATTTTCAGCCTTCTGGCTGCCAAGCTCTTTCAATAAACCGTTAATTATTATTATTATTATTATTACACTCACACACTCACACACACACATTACACACACACACACATTATAGTACAGTACTCTACTAACTCTGAACCCCTAACATGACTGCCTTATTAAGCTCTCCCATAACAACACAACACAAACTGAAAACAACTAAAGTTCTTAAGTCTTAGTGAGGCAAGACACCAACACCACCACCATTATACTTCCTCCAGTCAAACCTCCATATAACGTACAACTCTCTTCATACACCTCCATGGTTCATTATATGGAGGCTTCACATCTAACGGACCCTCGATATAACGGACTCTCCTCTCCATATAGTCCATTAAATAGGGGTCCCACTCTACATCCTCAAAACCTACTACTTACAGTGTATGAGGGGTTAATGTACCTGAAGCACTAACTGTTCCTGCACCACAGTTAGTTAACAACACTTACACCACACCACACCACACCACACCACAGTCAGTTAAAGAATCAGTTTAATACCCCCACTAAGTGTGAGGTCATGATGACATCTTCATTATCCACAACCACAATGGCCACATGTGCTAACCTTTTATTAAGAAGCATTTTGAGACCTGAGAATCCACTCATTTAAGACCACCGACCTGAGAATCCACAATCACCATTTTACCTGGGAATCCACAATCACCATTTACCTGGGAATCCACAATCACCATTTTACCTGAGAACCCACAAAGAATTATACTGATGTGAGCAATAAACAGAGTCCTCAGTAACATCTGGCCTAAACAGTTCGACCATAATACAGTTGTAGCTCTCTGGACCCAAGGCCGTCATCCCCCACTCACCACCTAACCCAATTTTATTGATAACCTTACCCAAAGATATCCAACCAGACCCAACCAAATGTAACCTTAACATAACCACTGTTAACTCAATTAATCTAAATGAGTTTCTCCAGTAAACTAACTTCCTGCTTAAGGGTTAACATGAGACCAATATATGACACACTTAACCTAGCAGTAACCCAGCTTCAAACTGTGTGCACAATAAGTTTGGATGAATATATTTGTTATCATCAATTATTTCCATTCCAACTATTTATTTATTTACCCTTCTTTACACCTTCGTAACCTAAGCTACATAACCACCACTAACAAGCCACCCAACAACATCTCTCCACTACACAGAAAACTGTTAACTTGTATCCAGTTCACTTTTATTAAATCTCTTGTTTTATCATTATAGTCTTTCACACGACCTAACTTACCTCACACTACTGTACTGTACTACACTTTTAACTAAGGATACAGCTATACACCTTTAGTTGATGGGCCTTTTTACTCCTTGACCTTTGACTCTAATCACCTTGTGAGACATTTGTCAATGTCCTGACCTGGCCAGTTCATTAATCACCGTCAACAATGAAGACCTCAGACTGAAGGATGGAGACCATATTCATCCTATAAAACAAACTGAAGGCACCTACACATAACTACACCAACACAACACCAACATTAGCAAGTCTTACAGGTAACCTCAGTGTATGGATGAGGAAGATATTGTACTGGCACCAAGATGGTGTCACAGTACTGTATTATCAACCGAGTGATGATGTGCAGTTATGAAACAATCAGGGGCATTCTATCATGCATATATGTGTGTTTATATATAAATATATGAGGAAATGATGGTTTAATAAAAACTATCAACTCTGATGGTTTAATGTTTCATCATTCATATGGTGCTAAACATATTGTCACTGAACTAGACTAACTATGGCTTGTACAGTATATATAAAGATGAAGAGAGCCATAATGGAGGAGCTTACATGAGTTAAGACAAGCCCTAAGAGCACTCACGTACTTGTCCTCATGTAAGGCGGTGGGGAACGAAGGCCTAGATAACAATTATGCCCCACCAGCCATTTCAAATGTTGTATTACTGTAAGATGATGGGGAACAAGAACCCTATTTTAACCATGGTAACCCACCACCTACTACTACAACACAGTCATGTATTAATCAATGTTTATCACAAGTGTAACAATAATCTGACAGTCAAGAATAATTTATATACAGTATAGGGATAATTATGTGACCAGTGTTCAATAGGGTACATGAATTTAAAGCTTTGTATATGATGCATGATAATGACTCAAGCTCTGCTCCAGTACAGTAATTACAGCCGAAATTGAGTATAATTCCTGTAATAAACATGGAAGAAAACTGGCTTAAAAAAAAAAGATCTATTATAAACATTATGTAAGAAGGACTTTATACAGCGACACATTCCATAACCTACCATCTCTACTGTTAAATATCTGGTAATAATAACAATATTTTAATTTCTTTCAACTAAACACTGGACACACTAACTCACACTAAGACCATGCTTACAACACCCACTGATATAGTGTTGGGTCCCTGTCCTAATGTGTCCCAACCTAACCTAACTTAAACCATTAGGAGTGAGATTCATTACTACAGCACTGAGTGGCAACAATAATGGTTAGGTTAAGTTAGGTTAGGTTGTGGGGTGAAGTTGGATTCTCTTGTAACTGTAGGTAAGTTTATGGAGGAGTTATCCCCAACACCTATGACCAACGCTACAGGATTTGGAAATAACTTTAATTCATGATAGAGACTTTGTGAATAAATAAACTTAAATTTTACACTTTCAAAATCTTTCCAATATTCAAACTGTGGCAACATTGTTCTTTATACCTGTAACAAAATTAGAATCAGTGACTTGAGATTATGACCCAAGTGAGTGGGGTCAAGTCAGGTGAGGGGGCACTAACACCTCATCCTCCTCACTTGGGGTCATTAAACAAAATAAAGAGAACAAGAGAGTAGAGTAAACTGTTATGCCACAGTTGAGGATAAAGACTCCAGATGATGGAGTGTGGTGGTGCAGGACCTGAGGACCACAACTCTGTACTGTACTCTGACCACATTAGTCTTACAGCCTCTGGTGGCTCTTAATGGTCTTAGGTGATTTGTTCAAGACAATAATTAAAAAACTTGATAAACTCTTCCATAAAAGTGTAAAGTGTCTGAGAACTGTGCGTGTCCTTGGTAATATTAATATGCCAAGATGTATGGTGCAAAAATTATGACTTGGGTACATCTTGTGTGTGATTTATCACTATGGCAAACAGACTAGTGAGATACACACACACACAGTGAACAGCATGGTGAACACACACAGTTAACAGCATGGTGAACACACACAGTTAACAGCATGGTGAACACACACAGTTAACAGCATGGTGAACACACACAGTGAACAGCATGGTGAACACACACAGTGAACAGCATGGTGAACACACACAGTGAACAGCATGGTGAACACACACAGTTAATAGCATGGTGAACACACACAGTTAACAGCATGGTGAACACACACAGTGAACAGCAGCATGGTGAACACACACAGTGAACAGCATGGTGACACACAACATGGTGAACAGCATGGTGACACACACAGTTGAACAGCATGGTGAACAACACACATACACAGTTAGCATGGTGAACACACACAGTGAACAGCATGGTGAACACACACAGTTAACAGCATGGTGAACACACACAGTGAACAGCATAGTGACACACAGAACAGTACACAGTGAACAGCATGGTGAACATACACAGTTAACAGCATGGTGAACACACACAGTGAACAGCATGGTGAACACACACAGTGAACAGCATGGTGAACACACACAGTGAACAGCATGGTGAACACACACAGTGAACAGCATGGTGAACACACACAGTGAACAGCATGGTGAACACACACAGTTAATAGCATGGTGAACACACACAGTTAATAGCATGGTGAACACACACAGTTAATAGCATGGTGAACACACACAGTTAATAGCATGGTGAACACACACAGTGAACAGCATGGTGAACACACACAGTTAATAGCATGGTGAACACACAGTTAATAGCATGGTGAACACACACAGTTAACAGCATGGTGAACACACACAGTTAACAGCATGGTGAACACACAAGTTAATAGCATGGTGAACACGCAGTTAACAGCATGGTGAACACACACAGTTAACAGCATGGTGAACACACACAGTTAATAGCATGGTGAACACACACAGTTAACAGCATGGTGAACACACACAGTTAATAGCATGGTGAACACACACAGTTAATAGCATGGTGAACACACACAGTTAACAGCATGGTGAACACACACAGTTAACAGCATGGTGAACACACACAGTTAACAGCATGGTGAACACACACAGTGAACAGCATGGTGAACACACACAGTGAACAGCATGGTGAACACACACAGTGAACAGCATGGTGAACACACACAGTGAACAGCATGGTGAACACACACAGTGAACAGCATGGTGAACACACACAGTTAATAGCATGGTGAACACACACAGTTAATAGCATGGTGAACACACACAGTTAATAGCATGGTGAACACACACAGTTAATAGCATGGTGAACACACACAGTGAACAGCATGGTGAACACACACAGTTAATAGCATGGTGAACACACACACTTTGAACAATATGATGAACACACACACACAATGAACAGTATGATGAACACACAGACACACATCATTCACTGCCATACGTTCTCTGTACAGTATGAGATGTGTTATACAGTATTCCCTTAAGGCTTGTGTCCCTCAGAAACTGACGGATTGCCACGGGAAATAAATAAAATAAATCTGAGGCTGTGTGCCAGGGTTCAAGAGGAGTCAACACTACAGGTCATTATGTACAGAATTTTTGTAGATTTAATAGCCTATTGTACTGGCAGAACCAAGTCACTAGCTATATCCTATCATGCTTCTCACTACCACAGTTCACTATCACTGTGTGGCCCTAACGTTCACACAGTGTTATTTCAAGTTTATGTTTATTTATTTATGTTATTTTGTATTTCTTATATTGTCTTACACATACATTATGTTGTTATACAAGTGCGTATAGCTTTTTATATATGTACAGTATTTTAAACACTCCTGAGACCGGCATGATAAAGTCGCGGATTTTGCTTTCTCGTGGGGTCCATTTTACCTGACCCCTGCGAGCTTTAAGGGAATACTGTATTAAAGTGTTCCTCTGCACCAACCACACACACATCACAACACCACACAACACATCACACCACATCACAACACACTAACAATAAACCTTAAGATCTAAATATTTTTCCCCCCATTCCCCTGAGCAAATTAGTTATATAAAGTCCATTTATATAGTGTATACAATATATATATATATTAAAATATGTATACTGTATACTCTCACTTTACCTCTAAATAAATATTCACAGGATACACATAAAAATCATTAATCTGGGTACAAACTGCAGAGACTAAATTGTTGATCATCCAACGGCCGAGACAACATCTTTACACTACACTATGTATCTGTTAAGTCGTTCCAACTAGTGATGGCTGAGCACAAGGCTAAAATAACCTCAACTGTTTTAAATCTTAAAATGAAATTCCATCTATAGTTTTTTTTAACAATATGTAAATATGAGTGAATGACTTTGTGTTAGCTTCACTCAACACAAAGTTAATTGTTAACGATATTACAGTGAAACCTCCATATAACGTACTTCTCTCTCCCTACAGCCCACTAGATGAGGGGCTACACATATAATGGACCCCTCAATATAATGGACTTTCCTCCCATATAGTCCATTAAATAGAGGTTTCACTGTGTTGTACTTAAGAAACTGATCAAGTTATTTTCCTTTGTTTTTATTAAGAATTAAAAATGTAACATGCAGTTCTCTTGTCCTCAACCACAACCAAATATTACTTAATGTTAGTTGAAGCACATGACTGACCATGCAGAGACAGTCTAATATATACGGCAATGGTCTGATATATAACACGGCGTCCATAGTGTCTTATACACACTTCAGGTGATCTACTATAAATACAGTATTATTATTAAGTTCAAATTAAGTTTACTATGTGTGAGAGGAAGATAATTGTGTGGAAAGAAGAGGCAAGGAATACACAAACTGTTGTAAATATAAAAAATAATAATATTGTTACTGTTACTTGTGAACATAAACTAAAATATGAAAAAAAAAATATATTTGCAAGTAAAAAATGATTAATGACCAAATGTTAGGTTGGTGTACAGTATAATGTAACTGTACATTAGTTGTGTTAATCTTGTAAAAAAAAATAATACAGTACTGACTTTCCTCATTAAGAGTGATGCACCAAAGGTATGTTGAGTGATCTGTACAAGAACTACTTTACACATTATCCTTGCCCCACACAAGTTTATATTAGACCATGTCTGCCTGGAACACTCATGCCTAACTAGTTCTCCGTTCAGCCCTGTCTAGTAAGAGAGAAGCGTGCGTCACTTACATGCAATGGCCCTGAGTCTGGGTATGTTAGGGGAGCCCGGGGGACTGTCGGGGCTCGTAGGGTTAAGAACAACACCTGCGGTCGGCTGCACCGTGATGTTGTGCCGGAAATCTACAGGAGAGTAGAGGAGAACACTGAGGTATTGTTGCCACATGCACCTCACAACACCCTTCTCTTTCTAGCTGTGCTGTGTCAGCTAGCTCTATGACTGTCCACCCTGACTCACTGAGACAACTCTCTGTCCAACCCATGCAATCTAGCCCACTCAGATCAGCCCACACTGGTGTAACCTGGCCCACTCCAACCAGCCCACACTGGTGTAGCCTGGCCCACTCAGACCAGCCCACACTGGTGTAGCCTGGCCCACTCCGACCAGCCCACACTGGTGTAGCCTGGCCCACTCCGACCAGCCCACACTGGTGTAGCCTGGCCCTGACCAGCCCACACTGGTGTAGCCTGGCCCACTCCAACCAGCCCACACTGGTGTAGCCTGGCCCACTCCGACCAGCCCACACTGGTGTAACCTGGCCCACTCCAACCAGCCCACACTGGTGTAGCCTGGCCCCTCAGACCAGCCCACACTGGTGTAGCCTGGCCCACTCCGACCAGCCCACACTGGTGTAGCCTGGCCCACTCCGACCAGCCCACACTGGTGTAGCCTGGCCCACTCAGACCAGCCTAGAGTGATAGAGCTTATGTGCAGTTGTTGTCAGTCAATGAAGTGATCTTGAGTCAATTAATATAAGGAAGCAACAAACTGACTACCTTCAACACAGCCATTTGGTCAAAACAGGAAAGTGTTTAAGACAGCAATGAAAGACTTACTAGTACAGTATACAGTAGAGTATCTAAGCAAACTAAAGACATGAAAAGCTGTAATAAGAGAGAATAATAACAATGGCTGGTGAACTGACACTTGAGACATGAGCCTCAGTTGTCTTATGACTGACTCAAACATTAGTTTTATTAACCTACACAATGACCTAAGTAATGGTCCTCTGGAGGAGGTCTACACAAGAAGCTCATGTCTGTATCCTTCAATCATTCCTGAGCAGCGGCTGTGCTTCAAGTGCTGGACCTCATTACTGTGAACACGTGTAGTACCAAGAGCCTCATTAATGTTAAATAATATAATTGTTCCCCAAATTAGTACTGTACCATAATTCCCTGATGAATTATATTGTATAACAAATGGTTTTATAATTAGTATCTGTTACCATAATTAATTCTTGTGTACAGCAAGACCTCTATTTAACGGACTACAGCATATTATGAGAGACCGAAGTCTGTTATATCGAGGTTCATTAGCTATGAGACCTCTATATAACACACTACAGTATACCCATTAGATTACTGTAAGTGTTCCTCTCATGTTAGTTTATTACACTTAATACTACACCAGGTGCTTCAGTCAGAACAAAACTTGAGTTAAGTGGTGCAATAAAACCATACAGTACAGTACTTCTCTTGGCCGAGGGACTCCACATGACTTTTGGATGCAAGCTACAGTATTTAGTTTATAACATGAGCTTCATCACGATCATTTGCTGCTTTTTATTCCCAAGACATACAAGTGTTATCCCACTGTGGTAGAGTAACCCGACAACAGAAACTTATTTCCTGGCTCCCAGTGGGTCACCTCACCTCTTAGCTCCCTACACGACCATTACCGATACATACTGTATTTACCTCAACTTAGTCCTGTATCACCTCACCTCTTAGCTCCCTACACTACCATCACCGATACATACTGTATTTACCTCAACTTAGTCCTGTATCACCTCACCTCTTAGCTCCCTACACTACCATTACCGATACATACTGTATTTACCTCAACTTAGTCCTGTATCACCTCACCTCTTAGCTCCCTACACTACCATTACCGATACATACTGTATTTACCTCAACTTAGTCCTGTATCACCTCACCTCTTAGCTCCCTACACTACCATCACCGATACATACTGTATTTACCTCAACTTAGTCCTGTATCACCTCACCTCTTAGCTCCCTACACTACCATTACCGATACATACTGTATTTACCTCAACTTAGTCCTGTATCACCTCACCTCTTAGCTCCCTACACTACCATTACCGATACATACTGTATTTACCTCAACTTAGTCCTGTATTATTAAGGCTCACCAATAACTTTGTAGGCGATTATTAATGTTGACGTTATAAAAGGGAAAAGTGCGTATAATATTTTCTCTCAAGTTTTTCCTGTCACTTCCTACAGCCGTTGATAGATGAGTAATGTCTTAATACAGTACTTCATGTCCACTCTACTCTACTCTACTTTACTTTACTCTACTTTACTTTACTTTACTCTACTTTACTTTACTCTACTTTACTTTACTCTACTCTACTTTACTTTACTCTACACAACATGAGAAGGAAATATGAATCTATTTAACTTCCTTAATAAAGCCTGAGACTGAAGTTAGGTTGATGGGTATGAGACAATGATTAATAAATTGTTCAATTAGTCTTAGGTACCTCAGTGAGAGATCCTGATCTAGCGAGGACATTCCTGAGGGTGTATATAGTTCTCTCTTCACCACACGGAGGAACCCCAGCTTGTCACTGATACATTTACAATATAGATCTTCACTATATAGACCAATCCAGTTTGCTCATGTTAAAGGCAGCGTCCGGCTGAAGCACGAAATTCGTTAATAATTGATCAGTCAATATCAATTTCCTGTCAGCAATTAAGGACACCAGATACAGTGTTACTATACACCCTGAAATGGTTCTGCCTAATCCCTAATACCTGGTTCTCCCTTATATTCTTATCAATTTTCAAAATCCTACTTCTCCATAATTTCTTGCTAGATTACGTTTAAATTTATGTGGAGTATGGGTAATGTACTCCTCTTGAACTTGACATATAGATATTTCTGGTTATCGCTTTTCTTTTCAGTCCATGAACTTTTTTCCTAACTTACCATTTTACCTCAAAATATTTATAAAGATAAATCAGCAAATAATAAACCAAGCCAAATATAAAGAAAATCTATATGTTCAGCCATGCACAATATATTATTTTACTACTTAGTTTTTGTTTTATTAGAATTGGCTCATAAATGGGTCAGCCTTAGGGATTTGAAGGTTAGAAAAACTCGTTTTGAGATACGGGCCGATAGGGTGACGCAAGAGCAACACACGGTCGAACCTCACTATCGCTTCTTTCATGGGTAACTGAGGCCTACAAGCAGCTCAGACTCTCGTCTTGCTGCTAGCTCGCTGAGGGAGGTGCCAGATACTGATTTTTACCAAGTAATTGGTATTACTTTACACCAAAATATTATTATAAATACTTTTCTACAGCTTTTGCTACATAAACAGAAGGGCCCTCCAAATGAAGGGAGGGGGTAGAAAAATCATGCATAGCTACATAGCCATAGGCAACAGCTTTCCTCAGGAATTTTTCTGAATAATTTTCATAATTTTCTGATTTTCATCGTATTTTGAGCCGGACGCTTTCCTTAAAGAATCTACAATGTACTATACTGCCATAAAATATTAACCAGCGAAGATGAAGACTTATTGTTTAAACACAGGAGAATATGAGATCAGAGTTTTAGTGATGTATTAAGAGGTGAAGCTTGAATCCAGAATCATCATTACAAAAGTCTTGGCAAAATACTATTCTATATACTGTACTGTACTGTACTGATATGCAAAGTTGTCTACATACATTCTATATTACCCATTCTATTATTAACTTAATATTATGAATAGAAATCTTAAAGAGTAATAAATACAAACAATAAACTACCATAATGGTTAAACTAAGTCTTCCTGGGTGAAGACAACAGATTGCACCAGGGAGTCGTCTGTTGTAGCCTCAGTCAACAACATGCATACGGAGGGCAACATCTACAGTACACCCTGGGACCCCATACACCAGTCAGGCTAGGAGTTAATATGAGATAAATATAACTTCTGATGTGAAAAACAATGTTTATTGGGAATTTTTTTTATTAGGGTTTCTCATCAGACAAGATAACTATGTTAAAAAACTTGAATCTGGCGGCCAAATGTTTTAGAATAGTTGACCCGGGGTGCTAGATGCGGCCCTCGATGGTAGTGCACCGTACAGTAGTGATCTTCAGTGATTCATTATTACTTAATTATGTTCAAAGTACAAAGTGTAGATAACTATGTTGCCAACTGATCAGTACTAATAGACCATTGTCCACATTCACTACTAAGATACAATACTGTACTTGTGTTAGATATAAGACACTACTGTACATACTCTCTATCTCTCTCTTAAGAAAAGCAACTTTATATCATTCTGGCCCAAAAAGGGGAGGAGCATTATACTGCACACATATCTAGGGGGAAAATGACCTATGTACTCATCTATGTTGGAAAGACTTCTCATGAAAATTCAAAAAGAGCAAAAAGCATTTACTAGTACTGTACTGTACTGTACTGTACTGTCTCACTAAGTTGTACTGTACACAAATGGTGAGGTGTTAACAGTAAAGTACAGCCCAGTACACTAACATGCATACCATAATAGGGGTGAACAGCCTGCCATCCTAACATGGTAGTTAAAGATGTCTTGTTTATTCATTACCTTGACTGGTTCCTGGGGCTCACTCTTACACAAGCCTGTTACATTAGCTCCAGCAATCACCAGAAACTTACTTCACAGCAGCAGCATGTCACAGCTTTCAGTAACTGTGAGCAACTTGTAACCATCTCTGGGTGTATGTCTCTCAGTCCACCACAACTGCGTACGGGTACTTACTCACCGCCAGATCACAATAAGTGTCGTCCCGTCCACTTACCCGAGGGAGCGGAGATCTGGTGCGATCTTGTGAGGAGTTTCTTCTTGAACTTTCCTTTGCGTTTCTTTGGTGTGGGTTTGGTTGACTGCTGCTGTATGGCTATGGATATCTCCCGCTGCAGGAGCTCCATCTCTCTGTTGTGTAGTTCCTGCTCCCGCTTCTTCAGTTGTTCCGCCATTTGCTTCTGCTTGAGTAACGCCCGGCGGACTTCCTCTTCTCGACACCGAAGATCCTGTGATATTGATCTGTTTCTTAATGTGAAATGTATTGTGCATAATATTGTTTTAGAAATGTTTTCCCAAAAAGTAATCCCGTACAGGTGTGTGTGTGTGTGTGTGTGTGTGTGTGTGTGTGTGTGTGTGTTTTTACCAATACTGTACTTACATTTTCCTTCATTCTGATCTCATTAACCTTCTCCTCTATCTCCACCTTCCAGTGCCCCTGCATGGTGTGGAAGCTCTCATGGGGAGTCTGCGTGAAGTTAGACCGGCTGATTTCGTCCAACTTGCTCAGGATGACCTCAAGAGTTGGCCGAGCGTGAGGATCTAACTCCCAACAACCTGAGGCGGTAAATATTTATTCGTTAATAAACAATCAGAGACGAGACGCAGTTCAATTTAGTCGGACTTTACTTTAGGACAAGAATGGTCTATGTCACAAGAACTTACCCTCCATGAGCTTCCTCCAGTTGGTGGGTACCGTGGTGGGGATGTGTAGGCGGAGCTTATTCATGGCGACCCCGTAGGCGATGGCCAGGGTGTCGATGCCCTTGTAAGGCGACTCCCCCGTCAGGAGCTCCCATAGCAATACACCGTAGCTGTTGGGGAAAAAGTGAATGTAGGAAACATCGCCACATACATCAAAATTAAACTGGTGGAAACATCAGATATCTCACCTACAGTACAGGCATAGACATAGGAAGCGGGGGGGCAAAAGCCCTCCCAAACGTTGACAAGGACAAATTTTGGGGGCAGTAATCTCAATACAATTCGGGCAGAAAACAATAAATTATAAATTACTAACTATAGTATTTACATCTGTTAATATTACGTTTTCATTTCATTTGCTTAAAATTTTCAAACAAGTAAAAAAATGGAATTTTAAAATTTAATAACTATCAAAAATAATATTACAGTATTTTTAATGAAATATAATACAAAAAATACCAAATATTATTAAATATATTTTTTTAATAAGCTAACATAAAAATTTTAAAGAAGCAAATGTACTCGGTGTGGTAAAGTTTCACTGTGGTAAAGTTTCCCCCGCACTGGACCAAGAGAAAACAGGTACCATGACTGCCATCAGCTGGCAAATGATGTTTGGTAAACACGCCATGCCCGGCGTACAGGATTCTTAGGTAAGAACCCGAGGATTTGGTTTTTTTCTGGGTTTGAGGTTGATTTTCACATTGTATTTGTAGTGAACGTATATTGATGGTGAATACCGAAGGATTCTGAAGGCAAGGTACTGCATTATCTGCATACAGTATTGACTAGTGTTAATTTATGATGAAAATTGAAGAGATGAGCTATCAACATCAAAGGAACTTGCGTGATCTTCATCGGAAGGAATCACAACAAATTTCCGAACCATTTCCACTTAAATTTCAGTACCTGTATTAGGTAACGGTGACCAGTGCTCAAAAACAGGTGACATATCTGTATATATATACAGCTGCTCCCCGACTTACGGCGGGGTTAGGGACCGACATCCTGGTCGTAAGTCAAAATGGTCGTAAGTCGGAAATGCTTAAATACACATAGAAAATCGAAAATGGGGGTCCCTTTTTCTTCTCAGCACCACAAAACATTCATTTTTAAGCTTGCCAGCGATTTTAAAGTGAATTACAGATGAAAATTTTGTCTGTGTACTGACTTTGGGACTCGAAAATATGTAATTTGACCACATTTTGGTACGACTGAGGCAGGTCGTAAGTGCGGGTGGACGTAAGTCGAGTAGGTCGTAAGTCAGGGAGGAGCTGTATAGTGATATCTCCGTTATCCGGAACAATTGGTGCAGAGCACTTCCGGGGATGAGAGATTTCTGGGTAACGAGACGACTCTCACAAAGCTGGAATAAAAAGTACAGCTACTCCTCGACCTATGACATACTCGACCTACGACCACCCGCATTTACGACCTGCCTCAGTCGGTACGACCACCCGCTCATACGACCGCCACAGTCAGTATCAATTTTTTTTTTCAAATGACTCGCGTATTTTCTAGACCAAAACATTTCCGTCCCGTACGAAAGCGTATCGTGGGATGGGTCGCGCCGGCTCGTGGCTACAGCACCCACGCTGTACAACACTTAGTTGGTGTTTGGATTTCGTTGTTCTCGCAACTGATTGCGCTGTGTGCCGACATTATTTTTGTATCTAATTCACTTTAGAATGACTGGCAAGCATAGAAGTGAGAGTGCTGGTGGTGCTCAGAAGAAAAGGAGACAGTCAATTACTTTTGAGACGAAAATGAAGATAATAATGCAGTATGAAAATGGAAAAACAAGATGGTAATTTTTACTTTATTCAAGCTACTACTACATGATTACAGTCACCTGTAACTGTCACTTGTGATGATTAGGGGGGAAACTTGCTTGACCCCCAAAGTTACCAGGGCCGGATTAAGGGTCTCATAGGCCTGGGGCTAATTAAGTGCAGAGGGCCTATCTCGGGCTATTTATATAGCCTAGAGTATATAGGCTAATATGTATGTATGTATGTATGTATGTACGTACGTATGTATGTATGTATGCATGAATGTGTATTATATATGAATTTTTTAATATATGCTTGCATGTATACGTTATACTGTAGCTTTATAGCTCGTTTATTATGGCTACGAAACACTGTAAACACAAGCATTATAATATTATCATTGATCATAACACGAGCTTATTTACATGTACTGTACTGTACAATGTACTATATAATTATGGCAGTTATAGATTTTTAGTTTAAACATCAATTACAATGTCTTCACTACATATACTCTATCATTAGCAAGTGTCATCAGTTATAAACTTCTATTTCATAAGTATTTTATCGCTCGAAAATCAGACACTCACTCTCAGCTGAAAGCCCGTAAACAAACTCCCGTCCCCCGCGACTGAGAAGCTCCAAACTTTCATACTTTGGCCAGTAGCAACAGATTAATGCCATCAAGAGCCAATCACAACTCCTAAGGCGGGAATACTCTCTTGCCCGGGGCGGTAAATTTGAACGTCAGCGGCGCAAATTATAAACAGCAATGAGATCTAAAATAATTATCGCCAGCCGGGAAAGCTCTTTAATATTTCAACTCACCCGCCAGGAATTTTTATTGCCTGTGGTGACCGGACTGGCTATTTTGTGCTATTCTAAGAAAGACCTATTAGAGAAAGGGCTTATATTTTTGTAAGGAATTTTGTGGGGCTATTTTTTTAGTGGGCCTGGGGCTAAAGCACCATCAACCCTTCCCAGTCCCATACACCAATGTGTACAGTACAGGTCACAACTTTTACTATTATAGTATTTAATGTTAACTACTGTACAACATCTTCTCCAGTTTAGTATTACTGTACTGTACAGTAAGAACAACACAAGACAATATATGGTAAGATATACAGACACAGTACAGTAAAACCTATACAATACAGTACCTTTACTGTACTGTACTGTACTGTACTGTACTGTAGTGTACTGCACTGCACTGTACTGTACTGCAATATACTGTACTGTACTGTACATTATAATGACTCACCAAACATCAACGCGCGCACGCACCCATACACACACATCTCACCCAAATATTATTTAACACAGTAAGTCTTCCAGTGGAGGAAGTGTTTATCTATAAAGTTGTCCCTTCAGTAGATTGTAGCTTCTGCCGCTCCACAAACCCCAATAAACAGAGTCGTGAACCTGAACCATTTATGGACGGAGTAATGTATCAGTCTACTGCTTCACGAGTCTGAGTCTGAGGGTTCATGGTTCAGGAGGAGAGGCAACGGGACTTTTGTGGTCGACTGTACAAAGACCTTCACCAGTTACTTTCATAAACTTATACTGTAATGTCTCTATTAGGTGAAGCCTTCAGTGATGGTGGCCATATTATTGGGTATAAGAAGAGGATAATAAACATATTGTTAACAGGTAAAGTGGAGGGTTTGGGAGGGAGGAGGTAGAGGGAGTGATGGAGGAATGATATTAAATGTTGGGCCAATACTGGAGAGATACACCACTTGAGAGAGAATAGTGAAGCAAGGGCAGGGAGGAGAGTGAGGTAGAAGTACAGGTAGGGAGGATAGTGAGGTAATGGTGGGGACTAGGGAGGTAGAGGAAGGAAGGACTTACCTCCAGACGTCAGAAGCCTTAGAGAAGGTAGAGGTCTTGATGACCTCAGGAGCCATCCAGGCGTAGGTGCCCGCGGCAGACATCCTCGTCGTCTTGGACACTTCCCGCGCCAGACCAAAGTCTGTGATCTTGAGCGTCTTGAACTGTAGCTCATTCTTGTCTATAATCTCACTCAGCAGCACTGTAAGTTATGGTCAATGTTAGTTTAGTTTGGTCACTTACAATATTAATGACACTACACTTTAATGGAACACTGATGATGTAACACTGCACTATAATTACACCATATTTACTTTCAAACTCTCATATTAACTATACTTGTAGTTTAAAGTTTCCCTGTACTGTATGTGTAGGTGAGGTCCATTGTACTGTACTGTACTGGTTGAAGCTAAATCATCACTCTTAGTAATCCAACCTTATAAATAACAATATTAATATACAGTAATAATAATAATAATAATAATAATAATAATATACAATAATAATAATAATAATAATGATAATAATAATAATAATAATAATAATAATAATAATTAAGTCTTATATTATCATTGCCAAGTTTCATCACAACTCTCTCTCTCTAAAACACTAATAAAAAATACATTACTTTAAATATTGAAGTAGCCTGAAGCATACACACACACACAGTACAGTATATATATCATACATGTAGTTACATAAGTACAATTATACACCATATACAGAACTATACATATATAATCACTCAACAGTACATATATATAAAGATACACAGACGTACATGTATACATTTAAAGCACTAATGGATACAAACAAAACAGACATACATCAAACAGCACTTGACATTTAACTCCAACCTGTAGTGACACACACAGGTTGCCAGCCACTGGAGCTGACACACACCACCGTACACCTGCTAGTGAAACCTGGCGACTACACACCCTAGACTTGTCCTCCCTAACTCCCTCCCTTCTTTACACCCTTACACCCTTACACCCTCACTCCCTTACACCCTCACTCCCTTACACCTCCCTCCCCCCCCTTACTCCCTCACTCCCTTACACCCTCACTCCTTACACCCTCACTCCCTTACACCCTCACTCCCTTACACCCTTACACCCTCACTCCCTTACACCCTCACTCCCATTCTTACACCCTCCATTCCTCCACCTACCCCCCCCCCACAAGTTACAGTGTCAATACTGAACAGCAGCAGTCGTCTCGCCCCGCCGCCCTGTGATGACAACAACGTAGGTCACGTGATGCTCATTACAACAATCTCCGCCCACTACGACAATCTCCGCCCACTACGACAATCTCCGCCCACTACGACAATCTCCGCCCACTACGACAATCTCCGCCCACTACGACAATCTCCGCCCACTACGACAATCTCCGCCCACCACACAATCTCCGCCCACTACAACAGGTTGTGGTCACTAAACAGTCTCCGCCCACTACGACAGGTTCTGGTCACCAAGACAGTCTCCGCCCACTACAACAATTCTCCGCCCACTACGACAACTCCGCCCACTACGACAATCTCCGCCCACTACGACACTCCGCCCACTACGACAATTCCGCCCATCACAACAGGTTGTGGTCACCAAGACAGTCCCGCCCACTACGACAGGTTCTGGTCACCAAGACAGTCTCCGCCCACTACAACAATCTCCGCCCACTACGACAATCCCGCCCACTACGACACTCCGCCCACACGAAATCTCCGCCCACTAGACAATCTCCGCCCAATACGACAATCTCCGCCCACTACGACAATCTCCGCCACTACGACAGGTTGTGGTCACTAAACAGTCTCCGCCCACTACGACATCCCTCCCACCACGACAATCTCCGCCCACTACGACAATCTCCGCCCACTACGACAGGTTGTGGTCACCAAGACAGTCTCCGCCCACACGACAACTCCGCCCACTCACGACAATCTCCGCCCACTACGACAGGTTGTGGTCACCAAGACAGTCTCCGCCCATCACGACAATTTCCGCCCACTACGACAATCTCCGCCCACTACGACAGGTTGGGTCACCAAACAGTCTCCGCCCACTACGACAATCTCCGCCCACTACGACAATCTCCCCACTACAACAGGTTCTGGTCACCAAGACAGTCTCCGCCCACTACAACAGGTTGTCACCAAGACAGTCGCCCAACACGACAATCTCCGCCCACTACAACAATCTCCGCCCACTACAACAATTCCGCCACTACAACAATTCCCGCCCACTACAACAATTCCGCCCACTACGACAATCTCCGCCCACTACAACAATCTCCGCCCACTACAACAATCTCCGACCACTACGACAATCTCCGCCCACTACAACAATCTCCACCCACTACAACAATCTCCGCCACTACGACAATCTCCGCCCACTACAACAATCTCCGCCCACCACAACAATCTCCGCCCACTACAACAATCTCCGCCAATATGACAGGTTCTGGTCACCAAGACAGTCTCCGCCACGACAGGTTGGGTCACCAAGACAGTCTCCGCCCACTCACGACAGGTTCTGGTCACCAAGACAGTCTCCGCCCATACGACAGGTTGTGGTCACCAAACAGTCTCCGCCCACTACAACAGGTTGTGGTCACCAGACAGTCTCCGCCCACTCATACAGGTTCTGGTCACCAAGACAGTCTCCGCCCACTACGACAGGTTGTGGTCACCAAGACAGTCTCCACTACAACAATCTCCACTACGACAACTCCGCCCACTACGACAGGTTGTGGTCACCAAGACAGTCCGCCACTACAACAATCTCCGCCCACTACGACAGGTCTGGTCACCAAGACAGTCTCCGCCCACTACGACAGGTTGTGGTCACCAAGACAGCCCCGCCACTACGACAGGTTGTGGTCACCAAGACAGTCTCCCACTGCCTACACAGGTTGTGGTCACCAAGACAGTCTCCGCCCACTCAACAGGTTGTGGTCACCAAGACAGTCTCCGCCCTCACTACGACAGGTTGTGGTCACCAAGACAGTCCCGCCCACTACGACAGGTTCTGGTCACCAAACAGTTCCGCCATCACGACAGGTTGTGGTCACAAGACGTCTCCGCCACTCACGACAGGTTGTGCACCAGACAGTTCCTGCCCACTACAACAGTCTCCGCCCACTACGACGGGTTGTGGTACCAAGACAGTCTCCGCCCACCACGACAGGTTGTGGTCAAGACAGTCTCACCACACGACAGGTTGTGGTCACTAAGACAGTCTCCCCACCACGACAGGTGGTCACTAAGACAGTTCCGCCCACTATGACAGGTTGTGGTCACCAAGACAGTCTCCGCCCACTACGACAGGTTCTGGTCACCAAGACGTCTCCGCCCACTCACGACAGGTTGTGGTCACCAAGACAGTCCCGCCCACTCACTACAGGTTGGGTCACTACAGTCTCCGCCCACTACGACAGGTTGTGGTCACCAAGAGTCTCCGCCCACTACGACAGGTTGTGGTCACCAAGACAGCCCCACTGACAGGTTCAGTCACCAAGACGTCTCCGCCCACTCACGACAGGTTGGGTCACCAAGACGTCTCCGCCACTCGACAGGTTGTGGTCACAGACAGTCTCCGCCCACTAGACAGGTTGTGGCCCAAGACAGTGCCCACTACGACAGGTTGTGGTCACCAAGACAGTCTCCGCCACTACGACAGGTTCTGGTCACCAAGACAGTCTCCGCCCACTACGACAGGTTGTGGTCACAGCCTCACCACGACAGGTTGTGGTCACCACAGTCTCCGCCCACTAGACAGGTTGCATGGACAGTCTCCGCCCACTCAACAGGTTGTGGTCACCAGACACTCCGCCCACTACGACAGGTTGTGGTCACCAAGACAGTCCCGCCCACTACGACAGGTTGTGGTCACCAAGACAGTCTCCGCCCACTCACGAGGTTGTGGTCACCAAGACAGTCTCCGCCCACTCACGACAGGTTGTGGTCACTAAGAGAGTCTCCGCCCACTACGACAGGTTGGGTCACCAAGACAGCTCCGCCACTACGACAGGTTGTGGTCACCAAGACAGTCTCCCCCCATCACGACAGGTTGTGGTCACTAAGACAGTCTCCGCCCACTACGACAGGTTGGGTCACCAAGACAGTCTCCGCCCACTACAGGTCACAAGTCTCACTACGACAGGTTGTGGTCACCAAGACAGTCTCCGCCCACTACGACAGGTTGTGTCACCAAGACAGTCTCCGCCCACGACAGGTTGTGGTCACCAAGACAGTCTCCGCCCACTACGACAGGTTGGGTCACCAAGACAGTCTCCCACCACTACGACAGGTTGTGGTCACCAAGACAGTCTCCGCCCATCATACAGGTTGTGGTCACCAAGACAGTCTCCGCCCACTACGACAGGTTGTGGTCACCAAGACAGTCTCCGCCCACTACATAGGTTGTGGCCAAGACAATCTCCGCCCTACTACAGGTTCTGGTCACCAAGACAGTCTCCGCCCACTACGAAGTGGCCAAGACATCCCCCCACTACGACAGGTTCTGGTCACCAAGACAGTACCAGCTGGAGGACGTCATGTGCCTCTATAAAACATTAAACTCTAAGAGACAAGTGCCCAGTGAGTCTATTACTGTCAGGTTCCCTCTGATTGGCCGGAGCGCGGAGGTGTATCGATTTCAAGTGATTTGACTGGCTGCTGACGAAGTGGGCGGGGCATCAAGGTGCCTCCTCAACTAGGGCTGGTGTGTACAGTATAAACAAGTTCCTTCACCTCTACTGTGGTGTGGTGGTGTAGTGTGGTGTGGGTGGTGTGGTGTGGTGTGGTGGTGTGGTGGTGTGGTGTGGTGTGGTAGTGTGTGTGGTGTGGTGTGTGGTGTGGTGGTGGTGTGGTGTAGTGTGGTGTGGTGTGGTGGTGTAGTGTGGTGTGGTGTGTGGTGTGTGGTGGTGTGTGTGGTGTAGTGTGGTGTGGTGTAGTGTGGTGTAGTGTGGTGTGGTGTGTGTGGTGGTGTGGTGTGGTGGTGTGGTGTGGTGTGGTGTAGTGTGGTGTGGTGTGGTGTGGTGGTGTGGTGTAGTGTGGTGTGGTGGTGTGTGGTGTGGTGTGTGGTGTGGTGGTGGTGGTGGTGGTGTGGTGTGGTGTGTGGTGTAGTGTGGTGTGGTGGTGTGGTGTGTAGTGTGGTGGTGTGGTGGTGGTGTGGTGTGGTGTGGTGTGTGGTGTGG